CACTCACTCAGCTAAGGAGTTGGCTATCCTGTAACTTATGCCATTCCACTTTGCTGACCATTCTGGCGTTTCCTGAACATAGTAGAAATATTCTCAACGACTCAGGGAGCATCCGTCCTGAGCTAGTGAATTTATTAGTGGATCTCGGTTGGGACTACCTAGGTACGGAGTACGTAGTTAGTCTCCGCTCAATGACCCTTGCCCCCGACATTTCTTAGACTAGGGAGCTTTTGCTGGTTTCTCCGCACTGTGATAACTACGATAACCCAGGGATTAGGATCCAACACTGAGTGCTCCATATATTGAGAATGTGAGTCGGTGGATCGGTATGCTCGAGCGCCGACTGCGTACGCAAGCTTATGTCTGAGAGCGCAATCACCTTTCGAAACTTTTAACATTGACGTCTTGCCATCCTTGGCATTGCGCCAGGTATAGTGGGTCCGGCAGAGATTGACCCTTCAGAAGCCTTAGCGGCGCTGTTCAAGTGTTAATATCACCACTATGGTTGACGACTGTCTCACGACGTATTAAACCCAGCTCATGTAGCTCTTTAATCGACGAACAGTCGAACCCTTCATGATTTTTGCATTCATGTGGATGAGCTAAGCCGACATCGAGGTGCCAAACCGCGCACTCAATTTGTACTCTCTTGCGCAAATTAGCCTGTTCAATTATGTTATCATAAAAGGTTTTTCTTTTATTTCCACTTTTCTCAAAATGGTTCAAAAGATATTTTAGTAGTATTATAAATTTTTAGAATTAAGATTTTATTAATATATATAAATATTATATTATATAATTAGAATATCTTTTCAAAATCAGACTATTTATGTAGTATATTTTTATTTAAATAATCTAATATTTATAACAGCTGGAATTCATAGTTTTTATAAAAATAGTATTTATAATTAGACTTAGTATTAGTTATTTATATATTTTTTTAGATAATAAATAATATTAATTAAATATTTTAATTAATTTAAGAATTAAAATCTGTAAATATTATATATTATAGGATTTTAGTAGCTATCTCAGCTACTATTTATTTTAGTTTTTAAAATATTTTTAGTATTATAATTTAATATAATTTTAATAAAATATTAATATTATTTAATTTTATATTTATTACCGGTATATATAACAGCTTTGGTAGTAGATTTTCTGGCGGTATAATAGTAGTATATTTTATAAAATTATAAAACTTATTTTTTTTAATATAATCTTAAAATATTTTTTTATATTTTTAATTATATTTATTATAAGAATCTTACTAGTTATAATAGTTCTAAGCTACTATATATTTATTAAATATTTCTTAGAAATTATTATTTAAATTAAATATATATAGATATTATATATAAATAGTTAATATATTAGTCTTAATATTTAAATATATATATTAGATTATATAATAAAATCTATAAGTTAGTATTATTAACTGCTACTGGTATATATACTATAATAATAGAATTTAATAAGATCTTATATATAATAATATCTAATAATAACAATTTATAATATTAAGATTATTATAATATATCTATAAATATAGTAAAATTATTTATTATTTATAGAATAATATTATTTTATCTATAATATTAAGTTCTATTTTTTTAATATATAAGAGCAGCGGAGAGAATTCTTATTTAAAATTTTAAAATCAGACTTTTATAGTATATAATAAAAGTAAAAATAATTTTTATTTAAAAAACTAACTAGATCTTTTTATTTAAAAAAAGTTATTTTAATATTTAATATTATTAATAATACTTCCGGGTAAACTCCTGCTGTTAAAATTTAAAAAATAATTATTTTATTTATAAATTAAAAAAATTCTTTTATTATTATTTTTTTATATATTTTAAAAGATATCTGTAATAGTCTTTCTTGTAGTTATATATATAAAATATCTTAGAAAATAATAAAAAAAATAGAGTCTAAGTTTAAACTTACTTATAAACTAATAATTTAATAATATTTAATAAAACTATTTATTATTTATATATAATTAGCTATACTAGTACTAGATTACTATTATTTTTTAGCAGCTTAGATCAGACAGTTTTTTAGTTTTTTAATAGTAAAAAAAAGCTAATAAAAAATATATAAAAATATTTTTAATATTATTATTATAATTATTATTATATATATATTATTTAAGAAACTTAATATTATCGGAATATCTAACTTTTTTAGATTTTTATTTATAAATTTAAAATATATAACTATAGTTTTTTTTATAGCTGATAAAATAGCTAATTTATATTTATAGTTTAAGTTTATATTTTTTAATATATTAAGAATTATTAGGATTAATTAGAATATAGATTCTGCAGCTGTATATATAAAAGTATTTAATTGATATAATATTAAGTTTAATATTAAAGTATTTATATTATTTTAAAATTAGTAATAATATTTTATTTAAAATAATTAAATAATTAATAATATAAACCGCTGCTTTAATTATTTTTAATTAAAAATATTCCGGCAGGCTGGTATTAATTAGTATAATTCTAGCTGTTAATATAATATATTATTTATATTATTCTATATAAATATTTTAATAATAGTAATATAAAGCTGATATAAAATATATAATACTTTTAGATTTATATTATTTTCTAAATTTTATAAACTTATAGCTGTTATTAAGATATTATTTTATAATATATTAATTAGTAATATTCTTATATTATTTATTGCATATAATTAACATATTATTAGTTTTATTTTTAAGATTTTTTAATAAACAGACCTTTATACAGCTAATAAATAGATTAATAAATACTAAATAATATTTCTTATTTCTAATTTTTATAGATTTTAAATATTAAGTATTATAACTTTAAATATCTTATAGACTTTATTTTTTAATTATTAATTTTTATAATACTTTTTTATATATCTTTTTAGTATTATAAATCTTATATTTAAATTCCAGCTTACTAATAATTTTATTATTAATATTTTTTATTATAATAATTAATTTCAGCTTGCCTGTATAATCTAAATAATAATATAAAAGATATAAATTAATAATAGTAAGTTAAAAATATTTAAACTGTTTGTTGTTATTATATATCTTAATAATAGATATTTTACTGTTTTATATAAAACTAATAGTATAACTAGTATTAAAATCTTTAATTTTATTATTTTTAATATATTAGATAATATTATAATTTTTAAATCCTTTTTTATTAATAGTAGACTATATGAAGTATTAAGATTATATTCTACTTTTATAATTAATTTAATAGTTTTATTATTTTTAATATTAAAATATAACTTGATTTTTTTATATTTTTTAGTTTTATTATATATATTAGATAAGTTAAAATATTAATATACTTTTTTAAGTATCTATATCTTATATTTAATAAAGAAGTTAAAGTCTGATATTAATATATATCTGGTATTAGAATTCTATATTTATATATTAAAATAGTTTTTTCTACTAGGTTTTTTAGTAACAGCTATACTAATAAATATATTAATATAATAAGAATATACAGCAGCTGTAAGATTTTTTTTTAGTAGAAGATTTATAGTATTATATATAGGTTTATAGTTTCTATTTCTAAAAATATATATTTAGATAAAAAAAAATATAAATTAATATTATATTTATATCTATTATAAAAGATATATTTATTGTTCTTTTTTTCATATAAAAATAATTTTTAAGTTTAAATAAATTAATTATTAGATTAATCATCTGCTGGCTTTTTTAATAGCCATGCGATATTATTCTTCTATTTTTTTTAAAATATTTATTAAGATTATATTTTTTAATTTATTATTCTTATTTTTAGATATCTATAGAACTGTATTTATATAATTAGTATCTATTTCTTACTTTTTAATAATATTTTTAAAATAAATAATTAAGTTAAAGAATTTAATATTATAGTAGGAACTATTATTATTTCTACTGATATTATTCTTATATATTATTATTTATAATAAAAAATTATATTTTAAATAATATAAAAAAAAAATAATATAAATATCTATTTTTACAGCCGAAAGCCCGGGCGTCCGAATATTTATATTAAAATATATTAATAAATTATAACAGCTTTATATACTATAAAGACTTTATAATTAGAAAGCTGATAATTACAGTCTATTTTCTAAATATATTCTTTTTATAAATAATTCTATAAATAGCAGTAAATATCTTGTTGGTGTATTTAAATTCTAAAAACTAATTTAAGTATTTTTTAAATATATTTTATAATATTAAATTTATAAATTATTTACTAATTAAAATCGACTATTATTTTTATATATTAAAGTATTCCTAGTCTGGAGCTAATTATAGTAAGATTTTATTAATAAGATTTTTTATACAATAAAAGCAGAAGCTTATTTTAATAATATATAATTAGATATTCTATTTTTACTTATTTATAAAAAGAATTAATAGTATTAATAAAAAGTCTAAAAATTTATTAAAAAGAATTTTATATTTTTACTTATACTATATATAATATTAAATAGTAGTATTTTTATTTTTTATAGCAGCTTTCTAATCTAATATTTTTAATATATATTAGAGATATTTCGGCTACTAATTAGCTGGCCGCAGTACTGCTTAATATATATAAAAATCTAGAAATTAAAAAAATATAAAAAATATTATAAATAATATAGATTTAATAAATATAAGATCTTTTAATAAAATATTAATAAAGTTGACACTCTAAAAAAAGAATAATAAATAAAAAAAAACTTATAATCTAAGAAGAATATAAAGAAAAATAGATTCAAGCTATCTGGACACCTATCTAACTGCCGGCAGAAGGCGGTGAGCTGCCCAGCCAGTGGGAGGCCAGGCACTCCACACAGTGAACATAGTAGAGTTGTCTTATCTCCACGTGACTGTTATCAAAACACTTACAGTGGGAAGTAGTTAACTATTAATTAATTACTCACTGCAGTGTACTGTACATAAGTGCCAGGCAAATGACATGCATAGTCTACAGTCTCAAAGACAATTTAATTTCGTAATTGTCGTCATTAGGCGCGATGCACCTTGATACAGAAAGCACCTTGGGCAAGTGCTAGCTATAGCGGAGGCACATTCGCTACGTAGCGCAGATTACTGAACCAGTCCGTCATTGAGTATGATGCCTCCTTCTCGCCAGATGGCCAATGGATCACCTTCACCAGTGAGCGTGACGGCGACGGCAACTCCGACCTCTACCGTTGCCGCGTAGACGGGTCGGGCATGGAGAAGCTCGTGGCCACACCTGCAATGGAAGATGCAATGGTTTTATCCGCAGACGGAAGCAAGGCAGCATTTGTTTCGACTGCGAACGGCTACAGGACCAATATCTGGGTGATGGATCTGAAGACCGGCAGCAGTTGGAACCTGACCAACACAACGGTGACGGCCTGCGACCCGACAAAGATGAACGGATATTTCCGCCCGCCGTGGTCTCCAGACGGCGAATGGGTTGCGTTCTCCTCAGACCGCGGCACAGACTGGTTGGGACATGACTTTCGCGTGGGCTGGGAGCATAGTCAAGAGCTTTCGATCTATGTCATCCGACCCAATGGCAAGCGGACTTTCTTCTATGAGACCACGCGGAGAGAAACCTGGGAGGCCCGCGAGACTGCTGAAGTAGAGGAGGCTGCTGACGGATAGTAAGTGGGAGGACTCGATGCCCATCTATCTTCCCACCGAGCTGCCTAGAGTGAGTCTAGGCCACCGGATATTTAGAACTACCTTCGGATATTTGAAGCAAGCTTTGGTCCTTGAAAACAAGATGCGGATATTTCTTCGGATATTTTCGGATATTTGGAGTAAGAAAGGAATTACTCTCCTCTGTCCAAAGTTGTGTGGAATTCATCGACTTTTGTGTAAGTTGTTGTTTGTAGGGAGAGTGGCGGGAAATGCGGAGACTGCGGAGATGAAATCACGGTGTCATGTGACCCTCCGCCGGAGCTCGGACTCGATTGCCTTCCGGCCTTAGGCATCCAGCACCTCACCTGTCTGTATTTCACTCTTCCTCTCCCTCCCCTCAGCCATCAGCATCAATTCCCGTCATTCTTCCTCGGCATTACCCCAGTAGATTTGTGTGGTTTACCCCTGAGTCCCCCTGACTACTGCACGTAATATCAGCCCACGTACCCCCCGCATAGGTTCTCGGTGTGTATTTCTCCGTGAACCCCTCATTTCCCCGCTCGTTGCTTAATCTAATTTTGATTGTTCCAAGTCTGCACCAATCGCTTATCCCAGATTCCAGCGCTAGAGCCTGCATGCAGTCTATAGCCTGAAGACTAGGATGAGCCCACCAAACGGAGGAAATTGCCCTTGCTCTCGGCAATACCACCAGAATCCACCATGACACTGGAGCTCAAGGGAAGTGACGATGGCTATAGATACTTAAAGCCGAGTGCACGGTTGCAGAACGAGATCTTCTCAGTATCTAATAGCTTTGGCTTACACTCACCATGAAGCTTTGGTCGTCCTTGCTGCTTGGGGCGAGTCTGCTCACCGGGACTCTGGCCACCACCGACGGTCTAACAGACCTGGTGTCCTGGGATCCGTATAGTTTGTCCGTCAATGGCAACCGACTCTTCGTTTTCTCGGGCGAATTTGCCTATCCGAGACTCCCTGTGCCCGAGCTATGGCTTGACATTTTTCAGAAGATGCGTGCCAATGGGTTCAACGCAGCCAGGTGTGTGGACACAAATGCCTCTAGAATCCAACCCTTGCCAACCCTTGATTCGATCTTATTGACCATTCGATATCGAGACTGATAACGATGTAGTGTCTATCTTTTCTGGAACTTCCACTCGCCCGTCAATGGAACCTTCGATTTCGAGACCGGCGCTCACAATCTGCAGCGTCTGTTCGATTACGCTCAGGAGGCTGGAATTTATCTCATTGCCCGGTAAGCCTTGCTGACTAGATGTCACTGGTTTAAAGCTAATACACGATGCAGACCAGGGCCCTATGACAATGCTGAGATCAATGGAGGCGGTCTAGCTCTCCACTTGAGCGATGGCAGCGGAGGCTCATTGCGCACGGGCGACGCCACGTACACCGCGGCCTGGCAACCATGGGTGGAAGAGATTGGCAAGATCATTGCAGCCAACTCCATCACCAATGGCGGACCGGTCATTCTCAACCAGATTGAAAACGAGCTGCAAGAAACGACCCACAGTGCCAGTAACACTTTAGTCCAGTATATGATTAAGTTGGAGGATGCCTTTCGGGCCGCTGGTGTTGATGTCCCCTTCACTCACAACGAAAAGGGAATGCGCTCCGAGAGTTGGTCCACGGATTACGAAGACGTTGGCGGTGCAGTGAACGTCTACGGCCTGGACTCCTATCCTGGTGGTCTCAGCTGCACCAACGAAGCCACCGGATTCAATGTCGTCCGCACCTACTACCAATGGTTCCAGAACTACAGTTTCACCCAGCCCAGTTACATACCCGAGTTTGAAGGAGGGTGGTTCTCTGCTTGGGGAGCATCCTCCTTTTATGACACCTGCACGAGCGAGCTTAGCCCGCAGTTTGCGGATGTGTACTACAAGAACAACATCGGCCAGAAGATAACGCTTCAAAGCATCTACATGACCTACGGTGGTACGAATTGGGGTCATCTAGCAGCCCCAGTTGTCTACACATCATGTGAGTTAATTCGTACCCGTCAAAAAGGGAAGCAATCCTGACCAGATATAGATGACTACAGCGCTCCGTTGAGTGAGAGCAGAGTGGTCCGGGACAAGATGAGCCAAACTAAGCTTATTGGCTTATACACCAGAGTGTCGACTGGACTACTTACCGCAGACATGGAGGGCAACGGAACAGGCTACACATCCAGCACATCTGCGTATACCTGGGTGCTCCGGGACTCGCAATCCGATGCCGGGTTTTACGTTGTGCAGCAAGCGAAAACCTCTTCACGCAGTTCCCTGACCTTTGACCTGGACGTAACAACCTCCGCAGGCAATGTCACATTGACCGACATCAACCTCGATGGACGACAAAGCAAGATCATCTCCACCGACTACCCGCTGGGTCATAGTACCATTCTGTACGTATCAACAGATATCGCCACCTACGGAACCTTTGGTGACACCGATGTGGTTGTGCTATACTCTCGAGTCGGTCAAACTGCGTCCTTTGCGTTCAAGAACTCCGGACGCCTCAACTTCACAGAGTACGGGCCATCCGTCAACCTGACCCAGAGCTCCGGAAATTCAACCACGCCCTCGTACACCTACACCCAGACCAGTGGTACCAGTGTCGTTCAATTTTCAAACAAGACGATCTTCTACCTTCTGGACACCGATACGGCATTCCGATTCTGGGCACCACCGACCACGAATGATCCTTACGTGACTGCTGACCAGCACATCTTTGTCATTGGGCCCTACCTGGTCCGCAACGCCTCCGTCGATGGAAGTGTTATTAATCTCATTGGAGACAATGACAACACTACTACCATTGAGGTCTTTGCTGGCGCATCGGTGAACACTGTGAAATGGAATGGCAAGCGCATCGCCGTGACCAAAACCGCCTATGGCAGTCTGGTCGGGTCCATTGACGGGGCGTCCAGCACGATCTCACTGCCCGCTCTCAGTGGCTGGAAGGTCAAAGACTCGCTGCCTGAGCTTGAATCCGACTATGATGACTCGAACTGGACGGTGTGCAACAAGACTACAACGCTGAGCCCAGTACAGCCCTCTACTCTGCCGGTCCTCTACGCGTCCGACTATGGCTATTACACTGGTATCAAGATCTACCGCGGACGCTTTGATGGCGCAAATGTTACTGGCGCCAGTCTCACCGCGCAGGGAGGTGTGGGCTTTGGTTGGAATGTTTGGCTGAATGGTGACTTGGTTGCCACCCTGCCCGGTGATGCTTCCGCCACCTCATCCACCGCGACTTTGGACTTCAGCAACCAGACGCTCAAGGACACGGACAACCTTCTCACTGTTGTGGTATGTTTAATGCCGGCTTCTCAATGTTGGAGATTTTTATGCTGATCATCTTACGTAGATCGACTACACCGGCCACGATGAAACCTCCACTGCCAAGGGCGTGGAAAACCCCCGCGGCCTTCTCGCTGCGACACTGACTGGCGGAAGCTTCACCAGCTGGAAGATCCAGGGCAATGCTGGAGGAGCTGCCGGTAAGAACTTTCTTGCATCCTTTGACAAGTCTGTACGGAATCTAATAAGATGCTAGGAGCTTATGAGCTGGATCCCGTTCGTGCCCCAATGAACGAAGGCGGACTGCTGGCCGAACGCCAGGGCTGGCATCTTCCAGGCTACAATGCCAAGTCATCGGATGGCTGGACTTCAGGATCCCCTCTCGATGGACTGAACAAATCCGGTAAGTTCTACCTCTGTTCTGTGTACGGTGAGAGATCGGAGAAGGAAACTAACCTCTGAATCAGGCGTCGCATTCTACCTGACCACCTTCACCCTCGACCTGCCTAAGAGCTACGACGTCCCCCTTGGCATCCGCTTCACCTCCTCATCCACCGTCAACCCCGTCCGCATCCAGCTGTTCATCAACGGCTACCAGTACGGCAAGTACGTCCCGTACCTGGGACCCCAGACCACGTTCCCGGTTCCCCCCGGCATCATCAATAATCGGGACAAGAATACCATCGGTCTGAGCGTGTGGGCCCAGACTGATGCAGGTGCCGCCTTGGAGAATATTGAGCTCGTCACCTATGGTGCCTACGCGAGTGGGTTCGACGCTGGGTCGGGCACGAGCTTCGATATGAACGGTGCGAAGCTGGGATACCAGCCTGAGTGGACTGAGGCTCGGTTGAAGTATACTTAGGTGCTTGCGTGTTTCTGAGATTGGTGAGAAGATGTTTTGGGGTGATCTGATTGCATCCTGTTTTTCTTGGGTTCCCATTCGAGTGAATATTCTGAACAATGTTTATTTAGTTATAATATGGATAGCGTCTCAATACTGCCTTCCAGTTCATTTCTAATTACTGCAACCCATCCATGAACAATTCCAAATCCAAGTTATTCTCATGTGCCAGGACCAACTCGTGGTGTCTCTGTATTTCAGTATCCTCCAGCAGCCGACCTCACTCCTCATCATCCAGCGCAAACCGATCCAAGAACCTGAAAGTATACAATCCCTCCAACACCTCCGCCGCTAACCCCGTCGCATTCCCAACGACATACACCCCGTCCCTCCCAACCTCAATGCCCGCCCCCTTCAACGCCCGGTTCCCACTCCCCACTGCTCCAACCGGCTTGCCATACCGAAACGCATCCGCCAGTATCTGCCCCGGCCGACCAGGAGGGTACATCGTCGTCGCATTGCCCGTCGTAAACAACCCCTCCACCCCATCCGCCACAACCACCGCATCAAACCCGGAAGCATCGGAGAGCGCATACGTCGTATTCACACCCTCAGCCCACACCTCCGCGACAACCTGCACATCAACCCCATGCACCGCCAGCACCCTAGCCAACTCCGCCCCAAGCCGCAGCGACCCCTCATGTTTAGTCGACGCCAACACCCCGACCGATAGGCCCTCAACACTGAGCAACCGCTGCCCAAATGTCCCAACATTCACCGTCGCATTCGAGGTATAGTACCTGCCCTCAGGCTCCGGCACCTCCAACCCCAGCCCCCTGGCCACCCGCGTCGCCAACCCATGATCCACGCGGTTCAACTGCGCGACCACATTCCGCCGCACATGCACGCTCGTCACCTTGGAATTCTCAAACACAATCGCATTCACCACCATCTGCTGCTCCGCAGGCACCAACGAATTCCAGAACAGGGCCGGCTGGGACCAGTGGTCGGCGAAGGTGGGGCTGGGCTCGCGCACGAGATGGCCGCTGGCGTAGCGGTAGGGGGCAGTGAAGAACCCGTGGCCGGCGGTTTGGTTCGCCTGGCGCGGGGCGGTCTGCGCGCCCATCGTGTTGGGCGTGTAGGCCCAGTTGTTGGTGGGGATCTGCTGCTGGCCGAAGCCGTCGCGGTTGTTGTTGTGGACGGGCTTGCGCGGCCGGTTCACGGGCAGTTGCTCGAAGTTCGGGCCCCCGTGGCGGTTTACTTGCGTGTCTAGGTAGGAGAAGAGTCGGCCTTGGAGGAGGGGGTCTTCGGTGAAGTCGATGCCGCGGATTATGTGGCCGGGTTGGAACTGCGAGGGGGTGTTCATGTGAGTGAGATTGTTCGTGGGGGGGAAGGGATAAGGAAGAGACGTACACCGACTTGTTCCACCTCAGCAAAGTAGTTGGTCGGGTTGGCGTTGAGCTCCATCACGCCCAGCGGGGTGAAAGGGACGAGTTCTTCGGGAACGAACTTGGTCGGGTCAAGCAGGTCGAAGCCGAAGCGCAGCATGTCGGATTCGTCCATGATCTGGGCGCCCAGCTTTGTGTCTGTCAGTTATTGTTGGACCCTAGTCTCGAAGCAAGGAGGCATACCTCCCACTTGGGGTAGCGGCCGTTCTCGATGGCATCGTGCAGATCCTGCCGGTGGAAGTCACTGTTCTTGCCGGCCGTGGCTTGCGCTTCGTCCCACACCAGACTGGCCACCCCCTGCAGCGAGCGCCACCGGTACCGGACCACCTTGCTGGTGCCGTTGGCCGTCACGAAGCGGAAGCTGTGCACGCCGTAGCCGTTCATGTGGCGGTACGAGCGCGGGATGCCGTGGCCGGACATCAGCCACAGGGCGCTGTGCAGCGCCGTGCTCTGCTGGCTGAAGAAGTCCCAGGCCGAGGTGTGGGCTGTCGCCGCCTGCGGGATCTCGTTGTGCGGCATCGGCTTGATGGCGTGGACTAGGTCGGGGAATTGGATCGCGTCTTGGATGAAGAAGGGGGCGATGTTGACGCCGACGATATCTACGATGGCCAATGCGTATGTTAGTGTGCACGTCACAAGGGATTGGCTGTTTGACGTGTGCTGCTCTGGCATACCGTAATTGCCCCCATCGGTGTAGAACCGACAAGCGTGGCCGTGGACATCCCGCGCGGTATCAACACTGCCTCGGAATCCGACCACCGTCGAGAAGCGGCAGAACATGGGGGTCTCTTTGTCGGCGGCACTGAGGAAATCGGCAGCAGTCACGTTGGAGAAGTCGCCGTACGATCGGAAGGTACCGTACGCGCCGGCACCACGTGCGTGCACCACTCGTTCGGGGATCTATGAAAGGAAGGAAAAATGGAAAGGTTAGACATGCAAAAGGTCAGAACAGGTACACGTCTCTCACCCTCTCATGATCGAAACGCTGCAGCTTCTGGCGGAAGATAAAATCTTCAAGAAGGGTCGGCCCTCTGTGTCCAGCCTTCAGACTCCACTGGTCCGAGATTGGGGTGCCAAAGTCGGTGGTCATGTAGCTGTCAGTGTCATTGAGGTAGAGCGAGTGATCGATGGGCTGTTCGACAACCTCGATGGTGTCAGTTGGGTTGTCTGCTCGCTCGGTGAAACGAGGGGGAGTCCCCATCTCGCCGGACAGAAACGGGCATTGCGCCCCAGCGAGACCAGCAACGGCTGGCAAAAGCCAAAGATGGCGCATTGTGCAGCAAAAAGAGATGGGAGATCGATCTTGTGAGTCTTTTCGCACGCTCGTGGCTTGGATGGCTGGACAAGCGGATGCCTCTCGCAGACCCCTTTATATTCGTCTACAAGGAGCCGCGAGTGGGCAGATCCGACACCTTAGTTAAGCTGGCGATTCCAGACTCCGTGTTCAATAATCAACCCATATCTGTTTGACCCTGGCAGCGCATCACAACCTGTTTGGGCGAAGAGGATCCACTCTCCTCGCTCCATTCTTGCGACCGACGCAGTGCTGGGTGGCACAAGGATGGGTAGCAGGCTACATCGTATGAGACACCACAAGGTAGTCGAAAAGCACAGACGCCAGTTCGAGGGCCATGGAAAGGCTTCTGCGGACAGGAAGCAGGGCTGAGCATGACGAGTTTACCGAGCCTGGGACGGTGTTAGGTTCATGTTGTCGGCAATAACAGCGACAAGTATACAGCTTAAACACAGCCGGCAGAAGCCAAGCGAACAGTCAACTGTGTAGGGTCGACCATGCAGCACAGTCCTGTGCCTGGCCAAGATCATGGTCTAGCCACCAATGCTTGGTAAGAACGAAATAGACTGGGTGGGTTAAGTTAGGGCTGGGAACGCCCGACTGGAGCGGGTGCTTGGTAATCCCAACGACCTCGACCGTTCCCCGGGATCCACTGTTGTCCAAGAAACCTAATCGCCACGACTGTCACCTTCCCATGCTTCATTCAGCCACCAAACTGTGCTGGATGGAGTATCTACGCTCTCCGGGCGGTCAGCCATAATGGTCTGATCTGCTCCACCCAGAAGGGCCCGATTTCCAAGGCAATCGGTTGATTTTAGCGGCTTGAGGCTTCTATAATATTCTGCAGTGGTTTTGCCGAGGCATCCATGATGCGGCGGGATGCAGACCACTGACTGCCGATGGAGGCTACCCTCCTGGCAGGTAATGGTGTGGAACAGATCATTTTCTTGGCACCGCTGGCAGGACGATGCATCCATTCGGGGCGCTGATCCTCATGAGAGACAGCAGTCAACTGTCTCATGAAGGTTTCACATGTATGAAGATCTTCATCATGATGCCTCTGCCTTTTCTCCTCCTATCCTGTCAAGCAAATCTGCTGAATTTCCTGATGATGGGTGAATTGAAATGCTGGCACACGCGTTCGGTCCACGGGGTATGCATTTTACCTAAGGCGAGCAATCAAGGGTGCTGCTGATGTTACCAATAATCTTGTTGATTGAATTATGATGTGTGTTCGATCCTAAATCTTCCGACTTCAATACTCAGAGGAGATACACTGGAACCCTCAACAGGTTCTGAATATATAGTGTGAGCGAAAGTTGAACCCACTTCTCGGACCTGAGGGACTCGGACTTCAGCTGGCATAGGGGTCAGCCTCCTAATGGAGACTCGCTCAATGATACAAAAAGCTTATGGCACGAAGTATGTCTTTCACCGAAGAAGGGAGTGTGTCAAGCCTTCCAGAGTTCTTGGCCGGGAAGACCAAGCAAGAAGGCGGTCAAACGCTAGTTTTTCTGCCCTCTATGTCTCACCGCCCGCGCTCGGTCCGCCCTTTCACTTTGGGAAGTTTTGAGACTTTAGAAGACGTCAATGCAAAGAGGCATGTGAAAATCTACATCCCAGGGATGAAATCCTCCACCTTGACTTTCCATCCTTGTGGGAATTGTGCTCCTACATTGCCATCCCATCCCCCAGCCATCATCGCCACCGCGAGCAACAACGATGATGAAGCTGGGAAATACGGCGTGGGTACTACGGTCCCCACGGGGTTGCCCACATCGTCAAACTGGAAGTTGGGATGCAGCCGATACGAAACCGCCTCGTCGATGTCTCCCAACCGGACGGCAGTCATCGCCAACATTGGAAAGTCCCATCCGTACGACTTGGAGAAGTTCCATGTCTGAGCGATGCGGTCCATCGTGGCACTGACGACCGAAACATTCACACCAGTTGTCGGCGGTAGAAGCCCATACACTGCAATCTGGCTCGGATGGTCTGAGGTATAACTGCTCTCCGTCCACATATCCGGCAGATCGGCGCAGATCGAGTACGCATTGTCCACGACGGGCAGCGATGCCAGATTCTCCCGCACGCGCGTCCAGGTCGCCGGGACTTCGTGACCTTGTCGCCTCTTCCAGCCCGAGGCGATGTCCAGCCCGAACCGCCAGTAGGCCAGTTCGAATGTTGGATTATAGGTTGAGTTGGGGCTGGTATTCTCCGAGGACGGATACATCGGCGGGCCGAGGTCATAGACCTGGCTCGTCGTGTTCCACCACGCATACGACACCATCCAGGTTGCTAACTCGTCGAGGATCGTGTCCCATTTTTGCAACGTTTCTACGGTCGGCGAGGCTCGATATTCCATCTCCGCAAAGTACATCGGATGGGGTTGCTGCCAGATTAGCAGGGCATTCTGTGGACCCGGGGCAGAGGCACCAGACGGGTCGCTCATCTTGCCCAACCGTGCGCCCTCGTATCCCTGCTTCTTTGCGCGGTCAATCGACGACGGCAGAAACCGTTCGTAGACCCCCAAACTGCGGCTCAAGATCTCCCATTTGTTCCAGCGAGCCCAGTGCCCGAGGTGCCAGAATACCATCTCCAGGTGGAACTTGCCGTACCAGCCGTTGTTCTGCAGGCCTGATTCCTGCGGTGGATCGTGACCCGCACTGTTCACGGCGAGGAGGTACTGCGAGAGGATAATGCGGCGCTGTAACTCTGCAGCATCTGACGAGTTCGACCCCGTCAGGTCGACGAAGGAGCCGGATTCCCAGTACTGCGTCCACCACTGCGTTGAGCACGTTTCGACGGTTGCAAATGACCTCTTGTCTGTCTGGATTGACGGCGTGTACGATGTGGTGAAAGTGAATCTCCCTCCCTTGCTAGTAGGCTGGAGGATGTAGCGATGGGTGCCGTTGATCGGGCCGCGGATATTGCCTCTTTGCTCCGATGCAATGGTATTGTAGTAAGTCGTGCCTCCCAGGGTATGCTCGACCACTGCCTCTCGTGCTGTTGCTATCTTCAAGCGGGTGGTGTGCTCCTCGACCAAGCTCCAATTTCCCACAAATGGAGCTTCGAACTTGTTCGTCCCCGTGGTCAAAGGATAGTCGAAGAAGACACTCAGGGATCCATCTACCAGCAGAGATGATTGCACATCCACAGCCACAGTATCAGACACGGGATCTGCAACTGTCCGAACCGAAACAGCCGTTCCATGCAGCTCAAACCTTGAATCCAATATCCCGCTGTACAAATCCAGAGTCTGCACCGTGCTAGTCACATCTGCTACCGAGATATTCGCTCCCTGGTACAAGAGCCCAACCCGCCCCAGATTGACCCGATGCGGATTGGCGATGAGCCACTGCGAGATAGCCGCCTCCGCAGGATTCGAGATGTCGTAGTTGACCAGGCGGTCGTGCGTCCACCAGTCCATGCCCGTGAAGTCGGAGGGCTCGGTCTGCCCGGGGATGGTGGGCAGCGAGTCGTTGCACCAACACCAGGACGAGAGGATGTTGAATGGGAGCAAAGTCTGTAGACCGGTGATATCCGCTCCGAAAGCGAAGTCCCCGTTGCCGACCTGCATTGGTGTGGTGGTTGACAGGTTCGTGCGCACGGGATTGTACCTGCGGATCACATTTCGGCGGTCGATGATTCCAGTCGTCTCTGTGAGTGCGCCGACAGGCTCAAGGAGTGATAAGAGCGCAAAGAGCGCACAGGGAGGCATAAGTAGCATGGTTGATATACGTTGCAAAAGTGCGGGATCGAATGATGACAGCCCATCAGCGGAGTCAAGCTGGAGCTGGAAACTCGTCAAACTATCCTTTGTTGTCTTGCACAATACTCGACATTCGTAAATCACGTTACGATGTTAGGGATCGTCTGGGAGGGCAGAATTGTTGCTTCTAGGACAGACTGCAACCATCTCGATATTTCCTCTATGCCGATCACGGCTCCTCGGCGTAGACATAGCCGAACCCCATTCAAATAGCCTGAATATGCACGGTCCTTTCAGACATGCACGGCATCATTGGTGGAATATTGACTATGTATGCTCCTTCCCCGCAAACTCGCTGCTGACATGGACTAAAGATGACATCTCCTTTGGACGATCAAATTCCGTGGAGGTTCTACATATTAACTCTATCCGACAGAGATGTGTAATCACTTTCAGACGCCATCTAGCAGCGCCTGCAGTTAGACAAACGTTCTCGGGGGAGCTTCTGCAATCGCTCAGACCCCTACTTCTTCCGCCGGCATCCAATGCACCGATATAGGCTCATGCTTGCTGCGAATCCGCTCTCCCTTTGACCAGAGCTGGAACGTGAGGTCTGCCGGCCCGACGACGACCTTCACCTCGAACGAGGTCCGCCAGAACGCAGGCTTAGAACTGTACCAGTGCCGGTTCTTCAGCTTCTTGTCCACATTGTCCGTGAAGATGTCCAAGTTGCACACGGTTTGTACCCCCTCGTGGTGCAGACTGCGGGGCAGCTCTCCAGGCATCCGGGTGGACATCACGATCTGGACTTTCCAGGGCTCGTTCTCTCTCCCGACGTCTGTTTTGAGATGAAATTCTTTGGTCACTCCTGCAGAGTCGATGGGGTAGCCCTTGGATAAAGGCGAGCGTTAGTGCGCTGTTAGGAACATGAGTAAAAGTGAGACGGATTGGATGGCGTACCCTTATCACTAGCCAGTCGATCTGGTCAAGCACATACATCCGGTTGTCGCGGGGATCAATCTGGACTCGTTCTCCAAGGTGGAAGTCCTTGCTGTACAGCTTGTTGCAGATGATCCCGTAGCTGACCGGCGCGCAGCGGGCGCCAAAGGTGACGACGCCGCGTTTGAGCTGTTGGGTTCTGTCCATGACCAGTCCGTGGACGACGACCAATTGTCTAAAAGCAAAATCATGTGAGCAACAATCCAGAGGTATGGCATACAAGAATCACGTACGGCTCATCAGCTGTCAGGACTTGCATTGTGCCACTGAGGGGACCGCGTGTCATGCCCGATCCACCATACCTCTCCTGCAGTTGTTGTCGCACATACGGCGAGCTGCCCAGGCCACCCGATAAAATCAGATACGTCTATGCAATCAGTTAGTCTGTTTTTCAAATCCACGATGCATCCGACCAGCCTACAATCTGGTCACTGGGATACTGCCCGCGCAGCTGCTGGATATGTCCATCTAACAGACGACACATCCCGTCAATTTTCGTGTCAAAGCACTTCTGGATGTCCTTCCTGCTGCCTGGTCAGCCGCCATAGCCGCCATCATTCGACTGTCACAATTACCAAGCAATCTGCATCTGGCCATCATATATGTCCGCCTCTGGAAAGTCCACATCAGTTTGCAGACATGGTACATCAAGCTTGAGCCAGGGAGCTGCTGTGGCCTCGGTACCGAAGGCGCATTTGAACCGCTGAAACCGTCCGAAGGTCATTCTCCAGGCGGTTGCACTTGGGGATAAACGTAAATGATCACTGATTCTTTCCAGTCTGTCGCATATGATGCGGTGAATTTCTCTATCAATAAACACTGAGCCGATCGGATGTCCTAGAGCAATATTAGCCAGCGGCTATGGTGGATGCCCTTGCTACGTAACGAATCACCTTCCACGTGGCCGAGCTGGGAAAGTCGCGTAGGCTCACTTCGGGCCGACAGAAGCTTGAGGACATTCACATCCTAGAAATGGTGTTGGTCTGCAGGAACTGCAATAACGTCACGCCTGAAGCAGAGGGGGTAGGTAATACTGTTGTTCCGCCACCCGAGTCGCAAACCATGATTGTATCATCTTGCTGCGATTCTTAGCCAAGCACAACAAGCGCAGAGAAGAAGAGCAGAAACCGACCCGATAGTGTTCATTTCCAGCGTAGACTGCCGCTGCCTCGGCTTCAGTCAATCCAATGCAGGCGCGATGATTGGGATTCTGGACGCCAATGATCTGAGCAAGCAGCCGGCGGGTTTCTTCCACCATGCGCACATCCTTCCACGTGGTTGGAACGCTGAAGAGGAACTCCACACGCTGCGTGACAAACTGCGGAATGGTGTTGTCAAAGTACGACACGACATGCCGGTAGACGCAGCGAATATAGTCTTGGAACCATCGCTGGGCCTCGGCCAAGCTGGGGCCGCCATCCCGGGGATGCTGAGGCGAAAGATGAAGCTTAAAGAACTCTTTCAAGTCTTCTTCTGAGTTGTCTAATTCACACTGAAAGCCCCACCCCTTGACGGTTGTTTGACCAGAGCTGTACGTGAGGCACGTAGGTACTTTGTTCGCCAGCTCTCCCGGCAGCTTGCCTGGCCATCGCTGGATGGTTCTGGGAGGCGGCCATTCTGGGCCATACGAATAGGCCACACCTGAACGACCAGGATTCCGAGCTAATCAGCGTTCTGAGCCGCGAAACGCTGAATGATTGGAGGCCTACCAGTGTGTGTCATGCCGAAGTCAACCCCCACCACGATGTCAGGTCGCCACTCCTCGTCCTCGTGGGCAGAGGCCTTCCTTGGGGGCCCAAGGGCCTCGATGTCACTCATTTTCTGGAGATGAGAGGGGAAATTTGTTCAATAGACAAGAAAAGGGAGCTGACTCCCAGTCATTGAAATGAGCTCGAAGGTGCAATTTGGTGCCCCGCTTTATCCAATGCGGCTAAAATGTCCGTTCGATTGACTAGACGACGCTATTGCTCGACCATGGCCCACAACCCTAGCTAGTCTGCCACATATCCCTCCATCGGACTTCTGCGTTCGGCTGACTCCCTCCATTTTTGATGGGGCGATAAAGTACTTTAGCGCTCGCTGAGCCCTCCGTCACCGGGCTTTCTCACACCATTTACCATGGCGGACTCACTGCGGCCTCGTCAAGCGCAGACATCCGCGGCAGAGTCACAGTCTACCCTTTCAAGCCCCTCGCCTGAGTATTACGCGAGTTCAGCCATCTCAAGCTCATATTATACCTCCGTTGCTATTACTCCCTCTGATACTACCTCCTCTCGTGCTACTTCCTCTGGCACCACACCTCTGGGAACTACACCTTCACCATCTGCTTCCCCAACAGTGACAACGGCCAAGACTGCCTCTTCCTCGGTCTCCCAGCATACTCAAACGGCTACCAACCATCCAAGCTCAGGCCATGGAGTCAGTAGTGGTGCTCTGGCAGGTGCAGTAGTTGGCTCCATTGCTGGAACCGCCATCATCGCCCTCCTCGCCGCTTGGCTCTTTTTCCGGTCTAGACGTGATCCTCCTCGACGAGCGAGCAATCTTCAGGGCCCTGATCGACAGGGCGTAGAACTGGCAAAATCACCAGCGACGGTCCAAACTCGCCCGATTCCCGCTTCTTTCGCTGCGGGAGCGGAACAAAGCTTGTCTCTAGACTTGGCTCCCTTCCTCCCACCACCTGCCGACGATCAAACTGTGAGCTCTCGCATCCAAATCCTCTTCGACCATATCAGCCTCCACGTGGACAACTACTACGCCCCTGATAGTGGTAATAGCGCCCCGCCCCACGCGCCAGAGATTCAGGAGATGGTCCGATACAATTCTCCATTCATCTCTGGCCCGCTCGCGGCTACCTTGGCAAATCGTCGCGTTCGACGAGCGGCACTGACCCACGTCCTTGCTCGTACGTTACTAGAGGCTATCCAGGCCGGTGGATTGCTCTACCCGCCATTCCAAGATATCCATGAAGGGGATATCGCCCGTCTCTCCACAGGAGTTGCGATAGCGAGTGACAATGCCGCTTTTGCGTGGCGTTTGCTTACAGCTCATCTGCATGCCGAGTATCTCGATACCTCGTCCCCGGCTGCACAGAGGAACATCGCTGCTCTTGCAGGGGATTTTTCACGGACGTTCGCAGCGTTCCACAACCCACAGTTCTCTGATCCGGACGTCCGACGCCATCTAAGAAGTGTGGTGAAGGAAGCCGCCGACCTGGGCGTCTGGTTGTTCGCTCAACCGTGCTCTTTCGAGTTTGTCTGGGATGCACCGTCGCGGTCTATCACAACTCTACCAGCAGTAGTCAAGGTCAGCGATGAGCGGGGGCAGCGACTAGCTACGCCCCGGAGAGTAGTGGAGGAAGCGACCGCGCAGATCTGACATTCGGAACGATCATCGTAGCGAACTATATCTAGCAAATCACAGTCATAGTGCACTCGCAAGCCGTGTCAACCCAGTAAATCATACCCCATATATCAAACTCTCAAAACATCCCCATCAGCCAAAACCTCCTCCGCTCGACCAACAGCAGCCGCATTCCCCTTAGACTGCCTCCACCGTAGCAAATCCAACATCTCTTCCTCCAATCCACCCGACGACCCCCCTCCCGCGCCTTCCTCCCTTCCCCCCTCCGCACCCAAGCCCCCCACCAAACCATCTCCATCCCCCGGTCTCACAACCTCACCAGCCGGCAATTCCATCGCATTCTGCTCCTGCTGGTATGCAGCACCACCAGCGCGAACCTGCACCCCACGCAACCGCTCAAACACCACCATCAAGCTCTGGTGACACATCAGCAGCCGACTGCGCTGCAACCGTGCCCGCCGACTATCGCGACACACCCACCGCAGCTGCGTCGTCAGGCCGATACTCCCCCGACGCCGCCGAGTCTCCTGCTCCACGCGGGCCGGCTCCACCAGCAGCGCGACCGCGCGCACCGCATCGTCCAGGTCGGCCATCGTGGCTTCGATCCAGTGGGTCTCGGTGGTATCCAACCCTGCGGCCTTGAGGCGGTACAGTCGCTGTACCTCGCGGAGTTGCGTGCGCGCATGGTGGATGGTCTTGAGGAGGTCGGCGGTTTCGTCCTGGGCGGAGGAGAAGAGAGTTCTCGGGGGTGGTTGCTCGGATGACAGTGTTGTTGCTAGCGCTGAGGCTGGGGTATTGGTTGAGGAGTGGGGTTTCTTGACGGAGAGGAAGGAAGGGAGGCGCGAAAAGGGCGTTGGTGTGGAATGTGCGGTATTGTTGGCGTTTGCTTCCATGGTGACGTTTTGCTTAGACGGTATGTCAGGGTGTTGCTTCAGAGTGAAGGTGAAACTCTCCGCGTACGGTACCTGTCGGGGGTGCCTTCGGCCGGTTCTTAGCGACAATGCGTGACTAGCGATGGGTCTAGACCTATGATCCGTAAGCCTTGACGACGGCGATTCGAAGCGACGGACAATGGCCTAGTCCCACGCTTGCAGGGCACGATTATAGAATGCGAACGTTCATTTTCCGTAGACGGAAAGGTGGCGATAGAAGCGGGCCAGGAGATGCAACGTGGAGCCTGGATCGGGCTGCACCGTCTTTGGCAAAACTAGGGCTAAGATGGTGATGGTGCGGATATAGACCAATCAGCCCCTCAGGCCTCACCTCTAGTGCTGATGTTGTTCTGCGCCTTGACTACGCCGCAATTTCTTATCCCTGGTAAGTACTGTTTCTAGTTTGCGACGGCTCCAGCTTAGCTTTCCAGCTTAGCTTTCCTGCTTAGCCTATTTGTTACTTAGCGCACGAGAACGAGTCAGTTGGGTCAATCGTGGTAGCACTCAACTGACTGTCGATGGCCTAGGCTGATCAGCGCAAGTGCGATCAGTGTCGGCTCTTCCTATGCTATGCAAGACAAAGATAAGTCTGCGTCCTCCCTCCACCAGGAATTTGTCTTCTTCCCATTTAGGACTAGTGATGGTTAATTCTGCCGGCAAAAGCCACTGCGTCAATAAGAAATTAGGAAGGCGGTGCTGCAGAAAGTGGCGCCTGGAACCCAACAACTTGGTGGGGGGAGTACGCAGACTACTTTCCTCCCACTGTAAGATATCCTCTTTATCTTCTTTGTCGGTAGAGAGGATGGGGGCTGCAGGCGTGGGAAGCGGATGATTTGAGTCTCAGATCGACATTGGCTGGCGCTCCAGTATAGACATGCCTACCACCGTCGCCTTTGATACATGAACGAATCTCATCATGAACTACAGATCAGGTCATACGTTATGATCTAGGAATATGAGGTTTATCTTGCTACGTCGAACAGCGACATATGATTCAATCCGAGTAGTCTGACATGGTCAGAGCCGCATATACTGTATCTCGAACTGCAAATAAGCCCAGAGCATCGCGTTTAGTGGCTCAGTCTGTTGCAAAAGATGAAATATTGGAGACAAGCCAGTTGTTTACCAGTTCCCGGATCCCCCATTGTAATCCGAACATAGGAGAGAAATTCCGACCTTGGGGCTGAAGCTCAGACTCGAAGGGTCAGGTGCGCTTCTGTGGAGATGCATATGAAGGTTAACTTAGCTGACAGGCTTCTTCCCGTCGCATCTCTCAGCCTTGTTCGCCCAAATCTCGAACCTTCCAGCATCTATACGACGATTCCTATGCTTTCTTCTTGCTCCTTCTGACTCATTGATAGGTTATATAACTCGAGAAAGTTTCTTAAACTCAGCATGAATACCGAGCCTTAGCATCCTGACATCCTCACCAGCCCCACCGTCCCCACCACCAAAGCCCCGCCAGATTAGACGCTTCTCAACCGCTCATAAAATCATTTACTCCAATTCCATAATGACGTTGAAAGCAATTGTATTCCTTTCACGCAGTCCGAAAGTCACCCCGCAGGAGTTCAAAGACTACTACGAGAATCACCACATGCCTCTGGCGAAGAAGATCGCCGGCAGCTCGTTTCCCACCCTCCACCAGCGCTGGTACCTCGTCCGGAACCCCCGAGATCCCGCCTCCATCGATCCATCGAACACCAATTACCTCGCCAAGGTGTATGCGGGCCAAGCTGATGACTTCCCGTGGGATGTGTGCGTTGAGATGATCTTCGAAGATATGCAGCACTGGGGAGCCTTTCAGGCTCGGCTGGCTGAACAGGGGGACCGGATTGCGGAGGATGAGAAGAGGTTTATGGATCGTAGCAAGGTTTATGTGGCCGAGATTGAAGGGCCATTTGTGTCAACGCGTTGAGGGTTGGCACTGGCGAGGGGCGATGCGTATGATGGAAAAAGGAATTATAGAGGGTGGGGTGAAGGTATGTTGTATTTTCCAAAGTGATGATTGGGTTGCAACAATCTAGTGTTGTGCGTGCTTGGCCATGACTTTGATTCATCACTCTTGAAGGTTTCATCTTACTGGAAGTGGTTGAATGAGAAGTTCTTAATTATCTTATTTGATACCTGTTTTATAAATTGATATTAATTTGAGCTGGGCTTCTCCTGGTGCGTGCATCAGTAAAGCATGTGGTGGTGGCTCCGGAATCGGGATAACGTCAGAAGACGCCAGCAATAAATGCTAATTTGAATGGCAGAGTGCGATCCACAGGCCAAGATGGGGTAAGTCAATCGACTGGAGACACATGAACTGCATCTGTGACGGAAGTAATCTCCAGTTTCGTTGATGATGATTGAGCGGCCACCTTTATTAACCCTATTTCACCTTGAAGCTCGTTGTGCTCCTATCAGCTGTTTTTTTTCTGAGGCGGCTTTGCTCGGACTTGGGACGATCGGAAACCAGATCCCAAATACCAGATCTCCAATGGTCTTCCCTCGGAGGAGGGTGGGCAGGCACCCCCCAGTAGACGAGCTGCATGCGGGTACATCCCCCGTATAGCCCGCAAACCATGGCTCAGGTCGGAATCTAGAACCTTAAGAAGTGATGGTGTCAGTGGCAACGACTCTTTGCTTTCTCCTTTTTACCCCCGCAAGATCCTGTGGAGACAGCTCAAAATTTGACATCTGTCATTCCTTCGCATACCCACTTTGCATGTCAATAATGTTAATCCAGCGACCGATGTTGCAGGCTTGCAATTTGCGTTCTAGTCGTGGCTTCGATCAACGATGAATGTGACGGGACCGGTGCTACCCCCACCTGGCGAAACAGTGAATCCCAATCCTCGGCCATGGCTGTTCACAGCGAACTGCATCGCGATCGCCGTGGGCCTTGCGCTGAGCACAGTCTTCCTGGTGATCCGAATCTACACCAAAGCACGGATTCTGCGGAAGTTCTGGTGGGATGATGGTGTGTACTCACTCACTCCTTATTTCAATGGCTCCAGTGAAACTGACCCCTAGCCCGCACAGTATTCATTCTCCTGGCCTGGGTAAGTCCACACAGGTTGAGTATACAATGGACAGAACGAAGGGATTGATCCCCAGAGCAATAGGTCTTTTCCGTCAGCACCCAGGCAGTCATTATATGTATGAACATATCGTTACAGCAAATCCAACAACGCATCTAACCCGCCCACCTTCAGATGGCTGCCTCGATGCAGGCTTTGCAATAGACATCTGGGACCTGTCTGTCTCAGAACTCGTCACCTATCGAAAGGTACTCAATGATTTGTGCATTGCTCCCATTCGCGACTGGGATTAATCAGAGTAATATGATATTAGACCATTCTTGCCATGGCGGTGATCCACATCCAGGCGCTAGCGTTCGCCAAATTCGCCGTCCTGATGCTGTACTACCGAGTCCTCAAGTTCATCACTCCGTGGCGGTACACACTCTGGGCAGTGGGTAGTAGCATCGGACTCTACAGTGTTATCCTAGTCTTCATGCTTATCTTCGCCTGCGTGCCGATCGAGGATGGCTGGTCCCTCACGCGCCCTAGTGCCTGCCGACGACGATCGGGCCTCTATCTGGCCACCGCAATCGCCAACACCGCCAGCGACAGCATCTTGCTGCTCATCCCGATGATCTTTATCTGGGCCCTGAATCTACCATTCATGCAGAAGATCGGTTTATTCTGCCTGCTGGGGCTGGGATGCCTGTACGTGATTCTTGTTTTACATCCGTTTGTGATCACGTCCCCAGTATCAATATCAAGGGTGGTAACTGACCGGTTGGGATGCCCTTGGGGCTTTGTGTTGAACAGTACGGTTGTGACCAGTATCGTTCGCCTGGTCACCCTCATTCCTCTTCTCGATTCGAACAATCAGCCCCATAACATCGGGCTTGTGTGTCTCTTTATGTATGTGCCTTCAGTCGCATGAACAAGAGTTCTCCTGCCCAGTGTCCCCTCCCCCGCCCGTTTCTTTTCTTGCCTTGTCTGTAATGCTGAGCCCCCACTAACAAGCGACAACCCATCCACAGAGTCCTCGAAGCAAATTTCATCATCCTCTGCGGCTGCCTCCCGTTCACGCGCGCGTTCCTGCACCACTACGCCCCGAAATGGTTCCCCTCGCGCAACGGGAGTCGCGGCGACCGGTATTACTTGACAGGGACGCCCCCCTCCAGCCTGACCTCGCCCTCGCATATGACCTCCCCCTCCAACATGACCTCGCCAGCTGTATCGTCACCGGAATACCGTCGCAGACCATCCTACTTCGATATAGAAGCTATTCTGAACGACATACCACCGGCGGAATGTTCTGAGTTTGCGGGTCCACCGAGAGAGCCCCTGCCAGCTTGGAAGGGGCCGATACGAAGTGACATGATCGATTGACTGAAGACCTTTCCGAAACTAAAAGTATGCTGCTTGATTTCTATAGACCAGGCTAAAAGTGGTGTTTCAAGCGATTGTATGACTATAATGGTTAATTTGTGGATATATGAGTCGGGGGTCTTGAATTGGAGGCCTCTGGAGCCATGTGAAACGGTGGCAAAGCAGGAAGGGATAGGGCAGAATGGCAGGGTAGACCTGTACTACATCGGCAGTCTAACCCACACCCTTTCTCTCCAGGATCTAGGCTCTCACTACCACTGAATAGCTTCAATGTAGAGGGGTATGACACGGCAGCAGTTCTATCTTCGAAATGTAGCCAGCCCCACCGCCGCAACCACACCAACCAGCCCAGCTGCAAGCCACACCCTGCCCGTTCCTTTATCTTGCCCTCGAACACTTCTCCCAACACAGGCTGTCGCCACCGCCGCTGCCGTCTTGACGGGTAAAAACTCCAACCTCGGTGCTCCAGACGCAAAGCGCGCAAACAGCGCAGCCTTCCACCGATCCGGAATCATAGGCGACAAGTACCGGGCGGCGAAGCGTAGGAACCCCGTCGCTTGGGCCTCGTACCGCGTGATCTTCGCGGACAACCCCAGAACCGCCGTCGCGCGCGGACGGTGGCTCCGGTCGAACTCCGCAAACAGGGTCCCAAGCTGCTCACCTTCCGGGGCCGTGCTGGGGCCGCAGTCCTGCAGTAACGCGACCAGGGCATTGGTGAGATGCGCCACGCCCTCGAGGGCGAGATTGCCACCGAAGCCGGCGTTGGGGGTGACCTTGTGTGCCGCGTCGCCGAGCAGCAGGACGCGGCCGTGGCTCCACTGCGAGACGATCCCTTCTTCCAACGAGACCAAAGACCCCTTCACGCGGGCGGTCCATAGGTCCCGAATGGTGTAGCCCGGCCCCGGCGCGACGTGGCCGTATTCGTGAGCCACGGCGTCCGCGTCGGCTTCGGTGAACCGGGGACAGTTGGGCGTCCGCGTGCTGGGGACTTTGACGAAGAAGAACCAGAAGACGAGGCCGGGGACGCCTGTGGCGGTTATCGCGGAGTGGTTCTGGTGGTAGGCGTTGTGGACGATCCCGTCGGGGAGGAAGGGGGCTGCGGGGTCGTTGCGCGAGACCGCGAAGAGGCACTTGTATTCACTGGCGAATGCTGCATTGCGCCATTGGCAGCGGTTAGTGTATGGAATGCACGTATGGGGATGAAAGATGACGACAACGCACATTGCTCGATACCTTCAGCGAGAGCAACGTCTGTGGGACGGATCTTATAGGCCATGAGCTGCCGGACACGGCTATGAATCCCATCGGCTCCGATCAGAATGCTCTCCTGGAACTTCTGGCCATCGGCTGTCGTCACTGTGATACCCCCAGGGGTCTCTTCGTACGCAACGACGGGACTCTGGCTGTGGAGCTTCCTGGGATCCGCGATGTGGTCGTGGAGGATCCGCAGCATCTCGCTGCGTTCCATGAAGATGGTCGGATATTTCAAGCTTGGAGAGAAAGAGTAAGTCAACTCATGGAACCGGCATTGGTTTGCTCGCTTCAAATATACGATGAACTCACTACTGCTGAAGATACTGCAAAGCAATAGATGCCTCCATGCAGTATCCGTTCTCGTCGAAGTGATATCGCGCCCGCAAGGGGATCACGCCTTTCTCAATCTCAGCCCAGACGCCCAATTGATCCATCAGCTGATTCGATTGCGGGTAGAAGCCTATGGAGGCGCCCATCTGGGGAGCGAAGTCCCCTTTCTCGAAGAGCTCGTAATCGATTCCCGCGTGCTCCAGACTGATGGCCAGGGTCAGGCCGACCAGGCTGCCGCCGGCGATCAGGACCTTGAAGTTTCCCGCCATGTTCGCGTGGGGGCTGGTTCGATTGCGTTGACTACGCTGGGTGAGGGAAGATAATTTGTCCTTGTTCAGGGTCTTTGGGGTCTTTCATCTTCCCCGCACCGCTAATTAATGAGGAGTTGAGCTTTCACGCTAGTCTCTAGTGCATGTCTCATTACCCAACCACCAGCCATGTGACAGACTGTTTATATCGGCATTGAGTCCATAGGACCAATGGTCACATGACACAACAGACTCGAATCGCCATAAATGGCCAGGTGAATCACACACACGAACCTATATCTTATGTAACTCGGACTGCATAGTCTACAGGGTCCATCAAGTGATCAACACCCTGTCCGAAACGAACTTGTGATAAATCAAACACAAAGCACTGGACTGCCAGAGCTATAAGTCCCTATACACCGTGATAGCCTGGGAAACTTACCGAGCAGGTTGCCCGGCAGCCATCATGCGCTATAGTGAACATATTGGGCCCAGCGTTAAGGTTGCTTTCCATACTTCTGGTGCTCCGATATCGGCTTGACTGCTCTGTAGAGAGCCAACTCGATATCTCGGTCTGTGAGTCCCTGCATCCCGCCTGGGTGGAGGTGCGTGTAAAATGAGCAAGCACTCTCGACGCAGACCGCGTTATCCGACGGCCATAAGCAACCGATCAGATGTCTGAATCCCGCGACTTAAAAGCTGCTGACGACAGGGAGGTGTTCATCCTGGGGTCTCGGAGCCCGGAGCCCGGGCCTGCATCGTCGAGCAGGCCAGGAGATACACAATCTGGTCCTGCGCATTGTATCTATCATGGTTCACTCACGCGGTCAGAATCTGTTGCTGAGGGGTGGCGATGGGTGGCGGTGGCTGTTTACAGAAGCAACCACTGTCCGCGGGATGAAGCGGATCGGCCACACCATGGCACGCGAAGTGCACAATCCGCCTCTGTAAAGGATGCTGCATCGCTTTATCGACATCTGGTTGCAGGAGCTTCTCAATCTGGACCGAAAAGCCAAGCACGGTTAAAATGGCAGCCACCTCCTGCTCCACACCCTCCAGGTCGGCAGCGCCGGGGGGTTGGGACATGGCGACGAGGACCAATTTGGCTGGAGCGACTGGTTTGATGCCGGAAGAGACAGGCCGCCAGCCTGACACATTGTTGCACCACCTTTACTGCTCCCTCAAGGTTCATCTTCGCATTCGTACTCACGTCTGGAATCCTTGCTCCCCAGGATAAACTTTTGATGTTACTTGACTGAGTAGGACTGTAAGCTGATTCTTCTTGTTATTCTCGCCGGTGACGGTATGCTGAGAGATTTTTCGAGATGACTTAGGTGCCATGTATTGATATGGAAGGCCATCAGTGTGTATGCCGTTCCAATCAGCTCAATTTCATGATTATGTGTCCCATCGGGAACAATCCTTAAAAGCTGAACAGAGACATCGAGCAGCTTCACAAGACCTCCCTCGTTCTGTGTCAAAAATATATCGCCTTGGGACCAAGCCTCTAAGGGCCAGCAGATGCCCCACGAGGGCCAGGGAGTGCATTGGCGTTGCATCGACCACCTGCTCAAGATCCCGGATTGCGGCATCGAGGGAGCCGAAAACCGTGACTAGCCCCGTCTCATGTTCGGGAATTCTCGGTTCTCTTATGATCTCCCCTTGAGCCTCGACGTACATGGGGATTGTTGCTTGTACAGGATAACTCTAACACCGAGTGGATTTACAGAATAAAATCCAGCAGATTCGATTTACCCCGCCCGGACCACTACAGGTATTGGCACGTGATCTCATCTCACACGTGCTGAAGCCTTGCTTTTTACTGTTGCTGAAGAAGCAGCGAGTTCTCCACGCATTGTTGTCGTATTCAATCAGAATATGATTAATTGCTCGATCTCAAATGTGGCACCCAACAGGTCTTTTCCGCCCCATTCTTACACGTATCGGAACCGGTTCTCAGACCACATATGATCACGTGATAGATATATTGCCATCAGAAAGCATATTGAATCCTTGGACTTCACGCCGCCAAAAGTGGTAGTTACACCTTCGAACGGAGAAAGAAGGACAAAGGATCCGGGTGGGGTCGTTTCACCCTGCCAGTAAAAAGTCCACGTATTGTGACTCCAAATTTGGGGCAGATGGACCATTTCCAGGAGAAAAACAAGGTCTGGATGTCAATCGAGCAACAATTAGCCACCAACTTCATGGCCGTGATGCAATGACCGTGATGCAATGGAGACGTATGTCTCAGCCAAAACTTTTGACGACATGATAAACTCTCTTTCATTACGTCTGATATAACGACAAGGTACGCCCTCCTTTTCCCATCCTGCTTGACAATAATCACAAATATCTCGCTCCTTTTCAGACCTCTAGTATCGATTTCAAGTCCTGGGATTTATTTACTGCACTCAGCTTGACCAGCCTGTGCATTCTTCCATGGACAAACGACGTTCATCCTTCGTCCACAACCCTCTCCCTCTTGTGACCGATCGACAGCCACGGTCCAACATGCCGGATCCCGGAGATGACAGCCTGGGCCCTATGATGGATGATGACTTCACAGAGAGCGATACCAGCAAAAGCCTCGATGACATGGGCCCTCAGAGCTCCATGGGGGCACAGAATATGTCAACAGTCCCTGATGCTGGAGCAAAATACGACGCCCTCGACGGCATGAACCGACAGCTTTTGAACACGAGCGCTGGATACCCGGCCCAGATGTGTGACGCTGAACCCATGGATGCTACACAAGACACCAATGTCCGCGATTTCTCCAGTGAAGATGAGATAAGCGAAACACTCTATGGCAGGGATGGGTCAATGTAGACGGCTTCTCTTCACTGTTCTGGAAAAGTGCTTTCATCGTGTAGAACATAACCATCTCTGTGACCGAATATAATGCGTTGCTGTTTAGAGGGAAATGCCAAGTAGTACCCTTGGAGAGCTCAGATTAAGGCGCCGCATGCTAAGAGCTCTAGGCTCTTAAGCGCGGAGTAGACGGGAAATCTAGCCAGCCGCATCTGCTGGTGCATTAGAAATCTTAGATCAAGCGAGGGTAGCATCTCAATGTTCTCCTATACCACCGAATGAAGGCGGGCTATCCGCAGGCTTCCATTTTGGGTATTTCAGTGGGTTGTGATGATAGGGGGTGGGGAGATTCCTCAGGCACCTGAAGTCTGCGCTTTGGCAAATCAAGAGTATACCGACCTTTTGATAGCGAACGACGGAGGGTTTAGGTTCCTTTATTAAATGTCTTGGCTGAAATCGTTCCCTATTTCCGTCAACTCTCATGTCAACATCTTCAGAGCTTGGCAGCTTCCGGTCTGAGGACCATATCTTTCCCTGATCCCGGGTATTTTGGATATATAGCGTGGACCCAGGTGTAGAAAGACAGATCGCCATGAGAAGAACCTATGTATAGTACAGCTGAAGCACGATGAATCGGAATTCAAAATCATACGTGTGCTAGCCATTGCTGGAACAGGCTAGCAGAGGCAGACTTGGCCGGGACTCAATTCCGATAGTGGAGAGCTTGGCGCATCCTGCATTTCTTAGCGGCAGGTTGTCATACCAGGGACCTGAAAACATCGAATCTGATCCAAACAATTCGTTGCCTGTCAATCCTCGTGCGCACTCAATTCGATTGCAATTGATCCGAATTTGGCTGCGACGAATTTGACTGCGATTCTGCTGAGTCATCGGCTGTTATGCAAGCAGACTCGGTATAAAGCAGGAACGACGTCATTTATGCGGCGAATTGCTAAGCGCGATGACCTCATGACAAATCAATAGTGGAACCCTATCGAAGAGCTCCAGCTTCACTTTTTTTCAACCTCGGCATTTACAGTCTAGTATTTGACTGCACCTACCCCTGTCATCCTGTCAGCACTTTAATCCTCCTTCTCTCCAATCAATTACCTACTTTGATACACACACACACTCACACACACACACACACAAACAAAAATGAGCCTTCCAACCACCTACAAAGCGGCCGTGGTCCCCGCCCCGCACGCCCAGCACACCGTCGAGGACCGCTCCCTGCCGGCCCTGGAAGCCAACCAAGTGGCCATCAAGATCACCGCCACGGCTGTGAATCCGGTCGACTGGAAGATCCGGGACTACAACGTGTTCCTGAAGTCGTACCCGGCGGTGCTGGGCTCAGATGCCGCAGGCGAGATCGTGGCGGTGGGCAGCAACGTCTCGACGCACACCGTCGGCGATCGCGTCTTCTTCCAGGGCATCATTGGCAACTACCCGGCCTCGACCTTCCAGCAGTACTGCGTGATGCCCGCCGAGTTGGTGTCGCACACGCCCCGCAACATCCCCGACGACCAGGCCGCAGGCATCAGTCTGGCGTCGGTGGCCGTCGTCACGGGCCTCTACGACAAGACGGGCCACGCGATCGGCCCCGCGCCCTGGGCCGCCGGCGGCGCCGAGGCCGGCAAGGGGAAAGCGATCGCCATCCTGGGCGGCTCCTCCAGCGTCGGCCAGTACGCGATCCAGTTCGCGCGGCTGTCCGGCTTCGAGCGCATCATCACCAACGCCAGCGCGGCGCATCAGGAGTTCTTGAAGGGGCTGGGCGCGCACGTCGTCCTCGACCGGAAGACCGCGACCGCCCAGGGCTTCGTGGCTGCTGCGGGTGAGGGCGTCAAGCTGAGCTACGTGTATGATGCCATCTCCGTCAAGGAGACGCAGAAGCTGGGCGTCGAGATCGCCCAGGCTACCCAGGGCGCGGCGCAGGCCGTCGTGACCGTGCAGGGAGCTGACCAGGACGCGATCGCGCTGGGTGAGTCCCAGGAACCCAAGGTCGCCGTCAAGCAGATTCTCGGGCTGGGTAGCTCCCCCGCCCTGCGGCATTTGAGTGAGCCCATGGTCAAGGCTCTCGGTGGGGAGGATGGGTGGATCGCCAAGGGGCTGTTTGTGCCGAACCGGGTGCGTCTGATCCCCGGTGGCATTGGCGCGGTGGAGGAGGCGTTGAAGACGAATAAGGAGGGTGTGTCCGGCGAGAAGGTCGTTTTCCGTCCCAACGACGCTTAGATGGGCGTCATTCTTGTTTCAGAAAGATGTATGTTCACTTCAAATGTATAATAATAGATTTCTTCCAAATATGAAATATGGTCACACAAGCTTCAGAAGTCCATGCTTCGGGTATAATGTCGCAGCCGGAGATGTGCTCACATCAAGACCAGTCGACCAGCGCAATAAACCCCCACGATTCGCGCGGTCACCTGGTCATGTTCATCCTCGCGGGGTGGTGCCACTGTCTCTAGGGCATAGACCCAGTGGTGGAAAAACAGCCTGTGCCAGTGATCAAGATCAGAGCCACACCAATGGTACATGCCGCTCATGATAATTGGAATCACTTCTCCAAAATTTCCGAACAGTGTCACGGATCTCATCAAGATGAGCACACACCTCTTGACGCCTCAGGTACAAGGCATAGGGCTAGACCGGGCGGTGGCACAAGCCGCAGCAGCAGGCGCCACTGACGTGCGATCATGCACACCAGATGCCTCCTTCCCCCCCCCCCCTTCTCACGCGCCCAAAAATGCTCATGTGGCTGGCTGATGCGCTTCGCTTTTCTCTTAAATATCTTCTCCAGCAGTGACTGACTTCCCATCTACGCACATCATGCCCACCACCTCGAAAAGCGAACCATCATGGACCCCAACAATCTCACCGTAACCGTTGCCTCTCTTTCCTCGATCGTTCACACCACCCTGTCAGCATACGACTGCGTCACCGAGGCACTAATCACAGGGGACACGACCGTAGGCCTGAAGGCCCGCTTCCGGGTGGAGCTGCTGCGGTTACGCCTGTGGGGCCGAACCCGCGGATTCGGTCTGCCGCCATCCCCACCCTTGCCCTCAAGCAACAACATATTCGCCATCCCCGAAGTCCGGCGCCTGGCATTCGACATGCTCGGAAAGACGCTGCTGGTGCTGGACAGGCATCTGCAAATCCGCAAGAAACCTCCGCCCGTGCGAGACCAGACACTGTCGCGGTTCGAGAATGGATATTCCGCAAACCCTTACGCTCGAGTCCTAGAAGCAAAGTGTGCACTTGATCAGAGGCTCGCTGATCCGGCGCAGCGGGCAAAGGTTGTCAGACAGGTCCGCAAGGCAATGGACTATAAGGCGCCCTTGCCGGGGTCTTGGGTCGAGCGCACAACGGTCCGTGAGTTTCTGACCGACCTGGTGACGTTGAATACGGGGCTGGAGCGGCTGTTGCCGGCAGACGAAGCGGACTTCTTGGCGAGGGGTCTTGCGGGCGAGATCCTTGCCTCGGAGCCTAGGTTGGTGGTTGCGGATGAGAATTCCTTCGGAGTGCGGAATAGTCTGGCTGCTGGGATGGTTCGCCTGCGCCAGCTGACCGAATTGGAGGTCTATGATCTAGGAGGGAGTGCAAAAGCGCCAACATCTGCGGGACACGAGGTAGAAGAAGATGAAGCCCAAGGCTTGGCAGCTCATCCTCAGGCTATGAAGGCACTATCAACCTTCGAGATCCCGGTGTCCCGTCTCCAAGGCTTCACGGAACCGCCCCTTCCGGACATTGAAACACATGGCTCCACCTCGTCGCAGGGAAAGGTGTTAGATGCTCCACCCGTGCGATCTGTATATCTTTACACCCCTAGAGATCCCAACGAGCAAGAGGGCTATGTCCTCGTGGAATGGCAGTCCCGGCTGGCTACGACTGGACCCAGTCACCCCCCAACCTCAGACCAGTGCGTTGCACAGCGTCGACAACACTTGGTCGAGATTCTCCGCGAAACCTCAGTTGCCGACAGCGAATTCCGTGTCCTGGAATGCAGAGGATACACGCTTGCCACCGGCCGACTACCAAATGGGGACTCCCATCCGGTGATAGGCTTCGTGTACCAGCCGCCTCTGCTTGCGACCGCACCGATCACTCTGCATGATATACTAGTCACCACCCATAACTCCCAGACGCCCGCAGTGCCGGAACTTGGAGACCGTGTCCGTCTAGCCCAGAGGTTGGCGCTGAGTTTGTACCAGCTGCACTGCGCCGGACGGATTCACGGAAGCATCTCCAGCCATAACATCATGTTCTTCTCTGACACGGAGAGTGCAAGATATGACATCACTGAGCCATACATCTGTGGCTGGCCGGATGTCCATCCTACACAAGCTATGGGTCATGGGGGTGGAGCTCCGGACAGTTGCTTGCAAGAGACACGCATCATTGGCCTTGGGGATATGGCAATGTATGCCCATCCCGATTGTGTAACCGACGGGGAAGCGAAGCGCGGTAACCAGGAGACCCACGACACGTACGGTCTGGGTGTGGTTTTGATGGAAATTGCTTTATGGGAACCAATCGTCGCCTTGGCGCATCCGGTTTACCGGGAAGTAATGCACTCATCCCAGCAATATGCTGGCATCAACCATCGGAGGTGGTCCAATTTAGTGATTGAGGAGGCAGATCGCAAGATCGGGGCAAGGATGGGCGCCAGGTATCGGGCTGCTGCAATGGCATGTTTGCGTGGAGTCCATTCGACTGGTCTGTGTGAGAGTTTGGAGGCTGACGCTGGGAGACTATTGTTCTGGAAGGTGATCAGGGAGTTAAGATAGATATTTCGTTGTGACGGCTATAGATGAGAGCGCCCAGTCGGCTTTAATTTCCTCGGCTAATAAGGCTCGGGTTGATCACAGAAAAAGGCCGATTGGTAGGAACCGAGATCCGGTCTTGCTCTTATTGCTATAATCCGAATCTGCTAGCATAGGAAGATGACTCTCGGCATTCCGTCCGAGAATGAGCAAGATAGAGTGTTGGGACTTGATTCCCATCCAAAAATAACACATTACAATCCTGCCTCGCGGGTGCCATCGGTAATACCTTCGTAGTTTAACAAGCCTCCGCCAAGAACCGGAAGGGTGCTGAAGAAAACATCCGAGCTTTCCAATAAACCTGGGTTAGTGAAGTATGTTGTTTCTCCGTCACCTGCAAAGAACTCTGGAAATAATGAGTGCGTCACAGGCTCTTGCAGCGGATCAAAAAGAGAGGGGTCAGGTGGCTGAGCCCCCCGGTCCAAAGGTGCATTATCCGCTCGAGTGTCATGTACGTTGTCCGCTGTGTTAGGATCCTGAAACCACAAGTGAGCTAACGAGGTCCCATGTTGGTAGGCGATATGTTTTGGTCCTGTGGCTGCCATCTGGAGCATCGTGATAATTCCTTGACAATCATCGCGCATTCGTGGCTCTCATCCGCTCCCAAGGCACCAACAGACAAGGCCTTGAAGAGGAAGACCGATGCATGAATTTGATATCTTGATATAGTCAGCTACTCTATCCTATGTTCTGGGACGCTTAGCTGGCAAGATAATCATACAGGTAATATCGGATGGGGAGGAATCTTAGATGCTTCGTCGGATTCAAATGGTTCATTAGGCACTTCAAGACATTCCTCGCAGCCTCGATGGCTATGTATACATGGCGGCCATCTGGGCTAGCCATTACACTGAAAGGAAAATAGGCAGCAGGCTTCGCACTTGCCGAGGTAGGACCTTCCTTCGAGGTACGGTAGAGGACTGCTTGAAATGCGAAAGCGTTGACATAGAGACGGAGATACTCAGACTGCACCATAAGCAGACAGTGCAAATGGGATGGTAGAAGGACATTACTCCAGGCACCAAATCCCCTTTTCGACAATGTGCGGCTGTCTGGAACTCAGATGTCTCAATCTTCCACCACATGGCAAGCGACTGATGTCTCTGTCCATGGCATGTATTTCACCGCGTGTCGATTTCATCTCGACTCGCGCAGCCGGCTGATCGTTGGCTGCTGTCTGTGCCAGGATCAGGAGTGCTTCCAGGGGATTTTGAAACCCGCCACATGGGTTTACCTCGGTTTGGTTCATAAAGGTTTGGCCAGGTTGGTCGTTCACAGACACTCCTCCTTCAAGTTCGCGTAATCGCGTGTTCTGGGCATCGGTTCGCTGCTGCAATTGTGGTGATCGCCGGAAGCGAGAGTAGTCACCGCCTCTTCTTGACTTGACAATCACACATCGATGGCCGGCCATCGGAGGTGCATTTGGAGCAGGGGAGGTAGCCATAGTCGGGGGCGTATGTCCTTCACCATGTTAGATTAATTGGTTGGGTAAGGAGACTGTGAAGTGAGTTTGGGATCGCCAAACAGATCGCATTTAATCTTTCACTGTCGACAGCGCACGCATGCTCGATATAGTCTAGCTCCAGTACTTTTCGTCATTTTCGGCAGGAAGTTTGATATGCCATGAGAAGGGAAAAGAAAAAGAAGAAGAAGACGAAGACGAAGAAGACGAAGAAGACGACGAGAAGAGAGTGGAGTGACCGAGAGAGGAGAGGGGAAGAGCGGCACTAGACGGCAATAGACGGCTGTGGTTGCTTCCTCTCTTCCCTCCTTCCTCTCTTCCCCTCTTCCCCTCATCTTCTTCACTTTCTTCACAATTCCTCTGCCATTATAAAGTCCATCGGCTTACAACCTCACAGACATGGAGCCATTGACCTGCCTGCCTTTGGATTGCTCTTATACTCGTCGTTATATGTTTAGTCGCGTTTGCATAAAATGGCAACAAATCTGACCGAGACCTTCGTTCATTTACCTCAGACCGCCGAGGAACAGAACCAAGTCCTGCTCAACGATGACTATGGCAAGTACTATCCTACCGATCCCCGAAACCTCAATCTCCAGTCCAACTTTGGCCCCATGATCCCTGAGCAGATTGCTTACCTGCAACCAACAGCGAAAGACACTCCTGTTGAGATCATACGCGACCGTTTTCTACGCGACATATACGTGTTTGTGAGCCAGACTCCAATCCAGCCAAGTTCTACAGACCACTAATAACACCATCTACCTCGCCAGGTCAAAGCTCTCCTCCCCAAAGACAGAGTCCTCGACTGCCGTCGCCGCTACTTCTCCCATATGGCCCCCTCCAGCCTCCTCAAGGACGGCTCAGACCCCGTGGACGGCATCTTCAGCGAAAAGGACACCCGGAAGTTCCTTCCCCCAGGAAACCTCCGACGACTCTTCGGTCTCCAGAACGACGCAGAGTCCGACCAATACCTGGAATTGATGATCAGCGCCCACGAGGCACCCTTTTACCTCGACTTCTGCACGACCGAGGAACTTCGCCCCTTCATCCGGAAGTTCGCCGGCTGGCGGGACATCACCATGCTGCAGCGCACGATGCTCCGCGCCTTTGTGCCCGACAGCGAGCTGACCCCCGTACACTTTGATCAGATGTATCTTCGCGCTAGTCCGCCCATCAGTCTGACGGCGTGGGTGCCGGTCGGGGATGTCTCGCTGGAGGCTGGCGGGCTGATGTATTGGAGAAGTCGACGGATATTGGGCGTAGGACGGAGGCCGAGTTCGGTCGCAATGCGGGGGATTTGACCGATGAGGAACGTGTGTCGGCGTTCAATAAGAACATGAACGATGGCGGCTTTCTGAGTCGCGATACGGTCTCCTACGGCAAGGGAGAGGATCGGAGGTGGTTAATCACGGAGTATGAGGCCGGAGATGTCATCTTTCATGATCCGTTTCTAGTGCATGCAAGTTGCAAGAATAAGGATCCAGAGAGAAGGATTCGTTTGGCCACGGATTTGAGGTTCGTGGATGCGAATCAGGCGTACGATCAGGTGAGTTCCCTTTCTTCCTGCCACGTGCGACAACTTCGCTAATGGTTGATAAGCGGTGGATGAAAGTCTGGAGACCACTCGATGGTTTGTAATATGTCTGGCAAGGTCTTAAGGTTGTAGAGTCAGATACCACATGAGTACCGCGGAATAAAATGGCGCAATACTTTTGATCAAGTTCTAATTACAAGTGATGCATATTCATGCCCCATAAAGGCCGCACGTCCGCTCACGCATCAAAGCTCTCCTCTTCTTGTCCGTTTCAGCATCCCATGCAATGAATTCATGTAGTCCTGATCCAGCAGGAACCATCGGCAGCACCGGGACTTTTTTGTCAGTCACAACTTCCAGCAGAGCAGGACCATCCGTGTTGATCAGCCATTTCAGGGCATTCCATACTTCCTCCGGCTTGGTAGCACGCCGTTGCTGGACGTGCATTGCCTTGGCCAGTTTCATGAAGTCCGGATTTCGGATATGCGTGTGGGCATATCTATCTTCATAGAAGAGGTTCTGCCACTGAGTCACCATGCCTTGTTCCTCATTGTTGAGCACAATCACCTTCACCCCGATATTGAATTGCGCAGCGGTACTCAATTCAGTCAAAGTCATTCCGAACGAGGCATCGCCATCGATGTCGATGACCAATGCATCGGGCCTCGCCACCTTCGCTCCGATAGCAGCGGGCAAGCCAAAGCCCATCGTCCCTAATCCGCCCGAAGTAATCATCGTGCGCGGATACCGCCAGCGGAACTGCTGTGCCGTCCACATCTGATGTTGTCCAATTCCCGTGGTGATGATGGTTTCCTGCTTGCGATCGGCAGTCAATCTACTGAGTTCTTCGATCATTGCTTGAGGTTGGATCAGATGCGACCGTCCCGACCGATCGTACACGTTCAGCGGCCAGTGCTTCTTCCACTCCATAATCTTCCCAAACCACGACCGACGATCGGGATGGGTCATATCCTTCTGTTTAACTTGGGGAAGCACAGCCGCAAGGCTCTCGGCAACATCGCCCACAACCGCCTCGGTCGCTTGGACAACCTTGTTGATATTCTTCGGCAGGATGTCGAAATGCACGATCCCTCCGACGCCCGCCGCCGCCGCCGCTCGTGCCGCGGGGGCGAACTTCTTGATATTCATAGTGACCCGATCGTCGAATCGAGCTCCCAGCGCGATGATTAGATCCGCTTCCTGCATCGCCATGTTCGCGTACCCGGATCCGTGCATTCCCACCATATGCAGGGACTTCTCATCCAGTTCATCGAACCCACCGAGTCCCTGCAGAGTGGTAGTTACCGGAATTGAGGACTTTTCCGCAAGCTCTCTGAGCAATCGCGGAGCATCCGGCGAGTTGACCACACCTTGGCCCGCGTAGATGACGGGCCTTTTGGCAGTGTTGATCAACTCGGCCACCCGAGCGATTGATTTCTGGGGCACCGCCTTGACACTGTCACCAACAGTAGGAACGACCGGCAGCGCCGACGCGGTCGGGATCGCCTTCCTTAGGACCGCAGCCGTGACATCCTTGGGAAGATCAACCAGCACGGGACCGGGTCGCCCACTTGTCGCAATCTGAAACGCCTCATTGATGCGCTGCGGCAGTTCCGAGACATGGCGCACCATGACGTTCCATTTCGTGCATGAGCGCGAGATGCCCAGCATATCCGCCTCCTGGAACCCGTCACTGCCGATCAACGAGGTCGCAACCTGCCCGCAGAAGACAATCATGGGCGTGCCGTCACAAAGCGCGTCCTGCATCGGGGTCACAACGTTCGTGGCCCCCGGGCCGGAGGTCACCAGCACAATCCCCGGTTTTCCGGACGCTCGGGCATATCCTTCGGCCATGTGTCCGGCACCTTGTTCGTGTTTTGGAAGGACGAAATCGACCTTTTTCGAGTTGTAGATGGCGTCGAAGACAGGCAGGATGGCTCCACCGGGGTATCCAACTGCAGTCGTCGACCGAATTGTCAGTAAGGGCCTCAGTCAGGTGGGTTTGGGGCATATGCACATACAGATATGTTTGACGTCGTGACGCTGCATCATCTCGTGGAAGATCTCGCCTCCGGTCATTCCAATGAATCTGCTGTGTTTTAGTGGTAAGGAAGGGGCAGAGCCAATCCAAGAGTCACCCACGATTTGTCCATGGCCAGGCGTGAGATGCCTGCTGCTGGCAAGATCTGCCTCTCCGGTACCACCTCTTTGTGTTTCAAGTGTGTCGCAGCCGAAGCTGTCCCCCGGGTAGTGGGTGTATTTCTCATGGGAACGAAGTGGCTGGCGACAGCCTGTTTTGTTGAAGCCCTGGAGAGGGCATTGGGAGCCCGAGAAAAATGTCGAACTCTATGCATGATCCAAGTCGATCGGAAATCCGATGATGCTGGAGGACGTTGAGTGGAGAGGCTGTTGTAGTAAGGGAAAAGCAGCGAACGGTGCAAAAAAGAAGACAATAAGTAGTTGTCTGGATCTAGATTGACAGGCGGGTCGCACCACAATCCAGTTCGGGGAAGGAGCCGATGAGTCACTTAACGTTACTTTGTGTTCCTGGCTAACTCTGGGCCAGATCTTATACCAAGGGCAAACTACTAGTGCAGAATGAAGTGGGCATGCCCTATCCTGAAGTCCTGCCCAGCTGCAATGTAATAAAATAGGTTTAGTGCGTTAGAACTGAGTATCCGGGCATGCCCAGTTTTGCAAGACCCTCTAACACTACACATCTCGACTGAACAATCGATCCGAATCAATACTCTGACTGCTAGGTAGGAAGAACTCAGATGACTCTCGTGTGCTGCGACATCGGCCCCGGATTGGAATTGGTAGTCTGTCGTGATGATCTAGATCTCGCTGCTGGGACCTGAACTCAGTACATGCGAATAGATTGTTCCTTGTTAGTCTGCAACTGATGCTTGCACATACTTCACTGTAAGCAAGCCCCAGAAGCTTTGATCCTTTTCCCTTTGACAGATCTCACTGCAGCTCCTGTCACCAACATCCACCAGATGATGATCTGCTACAATGTAGTCAATAAACTCTGCAAGGGCGATAGAAGGCAGTGAGTGAGTCACCAACCCCTGGCTATGTCACGTGACTATCTTAACTCCGGAAAGCCGGCCTTCTGTGTTGATCTTAACTCCGTTGTTGTTTATACATGCTCTCGTGCCATCGACATTCTGTACATTTCCCACTGCGACTACCATTCACCGTATTGCGGCAGTAAAGGTCCATGGCTACATCTCCACAGATGGAGTATCATCCGCGGACCCAGAGTCTTCGTGGTCTCAGAGACTCTACTACCAACATTCACCTTGGAAGAACCGCATGTTTGCTATGTCGACAAGCTCCAACTGCCGGAGAGCAGTTTCTTGGTACTGTACACACCTAGACACTACTCCTGTTCTCTGTTTTGCTCTTTTTTTCCCCTTCTCTAATGATATAACACATAGATGTACATCACATCCTGCGCACTGCTCCAGATTGTTCAGTCTCGTGCCAGAGCTGCTTGTACACACCGAATCCCGGGCTTTGGTTCCACAAACGATGCTACGACACTTTGGCAGACACCTACGAGCCAGCGAAAAGGCCTACGCAGCTCGAAATGATGAAGTACATGTCTGCCATCAAGCCAGCCTATCAAGTCCGGAGGGATAGACGCGGAGAGATCTCATCAATCTTGGAGGGGTTGCGTACAGCGTCGACAGGGAGATTGACCCAGCCAGATTCCGTACTAGACTTGTTCATGCGGCTCCCGATGGAACTCAAGATCCTGGTCGCGGAGCTCACAGCACCGTGCTGGTATCTGACCGTTCTGGGCGAGGGCCGTCGATTGCTGGAGGAGTGGAAACGCCGTGCACCCCAGCCGAAGCAGCTCACGCTCCAGCACGATTTTTGGATGCGGCGCATCCACTGCCGAGGCATTTCGTACGTGACCCAGCTTAGTACCGCGCCGCTGGAGGCTATGGCTATTTCGCGTGTACACCACCTCAAGACCCCCGTGGCGATGGACAGGATTGTCTTGTCGCTGGACGCGTTCGGCTTGCGCGGGATCCAATTTATGGACAAGGACTCGGTGCCAGAATCCGACGGCTCTTCGTGGTACAAGGTCCTCCGGCCGCGGGCTCCTGCCGTGAACATCAAAGTGGAGTGTAATGTATGGGAGTTTCTGGGAAACCCCTGCCCAGTGCTGTCGTCAGGGCTGATGTGTCATACACAGGGTTTATTCGTGAAGGACATCGCACTCGTCTCCGACGGTTCATCCTCCGACAAGTGGCTTTGGTGCACCCCAGTACCCCCGGCATTCCAGCCGTGGAACGCGCATAGCCTCCGCAAGAACCCTCGGTTGGACTACGTTGCATTCGACGCCAACGTCAAAGGTCTTCTGGCCTGTTGCACCGACCACGGGATGATGGGTCTCCACGGATTCTCGGACACAGCGACTCGTTTCAAAGAGTTCCTCGAACTGATGCACTGGCGCGACAGCACGGGCCGGAAAGTCTGGATCTACTTTCCGTTGAACCAACAAGAATCCATCACAGCCGCTTGGACGCGCAGATATTGTCTTAGAGCCAGGGAGTTTGGCTTAGTGGTGAGCCCCACCTGAACCCCCTTTTCTTTAACCTCGTAATGATAACCCAACCGCGCACAGCTTCAAACCTCTCTAGGAAGAACCATTACCTTCGCACCTCCCACTCCACACTTCATGGAAGAACCATTCAAATGCGTTCCGCTGGTCAAGGAGAGCGACGGCCCGATCACTGGTGTCTTTCACGACGGACTCGACCCCACTCGCGTACACATCACCGCAGTCGGGGTTACGTGCAGTGACTCGATCAAAGAGGGCGGTAAGGCTCTGGATCCGCAGCCGGAGGGACCTCGCCTGGAGCCTCCGAGAGATCTCGATGGCCGCCTAGGCCTGTCAAAGCAAAATTGGTTCATGACCAAGGCACCCCTCCAGGGGCTAATCAAAGTGCAGGTCTGCAGGGATCCGGAGCAACCACATCATCCAATTTCAGGTCTACTGCTTGTATATAACGACGAACATATCGAGTCACTCGGACAGGTGCGGTGGGAGTACGGCTTCAGTGAAGAAGTCCTGATGCCTGCGTACGTTGGAACGGGTGCTGTTGATGGACGAGATTGTGTCAAGAGCATTCGTAGTGCGCAGGAACCTGGGGTAGATTTTGGCACGGAGGGTTGGCGAGCGTTGCCCCCAACTGGCACTATTGCTTGGTGGTTTTATTATGGTGGTGATCAGATCGCCATATATGATTGATGAGGGGACCGGACTCTCCATGCAACAATCGCTTGCAACTATTCCAAAACACTCTTCAGATTCCTATCAGGTTGATGAGCGTGTGAATACAAGGAAGTGCTACACCACCCTTCTATATCCTCAAAAATCTGGTAACGCAGCCCTCATCATTCGCACAGCTTGACTGATTCGCAGAACCTCCGGGTAATGCACCTTAATGTACTGGTCGGGCTCACCCAAGCCCTGGGACCCGAATAGAGCAGTCAAAAGATGTTCCCCGCGACCGCACCGCCATGCTCGACCTCTGGTCCCAAATTTCGTGAACGCGTACACATATTCCCAGTCGGGGTGAGCCTCCAAACACCTCACACAAGCATCGTACGCTCGAGCCTCCGCTCCCTCGACAGTTTGAGGGCTTCTGTCCGATGCTTCGGCCTCGTGAAACACGAGCACCGCGAGACTGTTCCCCTCGCGCATATAGTCGACGGTAAAGTCCACGCCCCGACGGCCACTGCTGTCCTGACGACGAGGTCCGTGCGACACGACCCAGTCCTTTTCTGGGAAGAAGTGCTTGCTGCACTGATGGGTCCAGAGCTTTGCTGATGCTCGCTCGTCAGATGGCTGTGTCTGGGCCAGCTCCCACAGTTTCAGGAGGAGGTCATCGGTAATGAGGGACATTGTGTGGTGTGTGTTAGTTATGGCGCAGAGGGTGCCTGGGTTGCTGTTCTTTGATTCGCGATCTAGGCTTCTTAACTTTCTTTCTGCTAGCAGGCCGTTGAAAGTCAAAGCTTTCAGGACACAGGCTTTGTATAGCACAATTGATCACTCGAGTATGTCGTGGTAGTCCTCTAGTTCTGATATGGAATCTGACCCCCGAGACAACAAGTTGGGTTGAACCCCGCTTATGCTCCCTTTAAGTGCCAGCCCCGCCAGGCCCCGCCGTGTCTCCGCACTTGACTGGCCTGGCCGTGTAGAAAACAACTCCACTCGCCAGACCTTGCCCAATTGGGCTTCGCTATGGCTGCATTTCAATTCAGCCTCATGTTGTAGATGACTTTACAAGTGTCATCGTCTCTAGATATAGTCATAGGCAGAAATTTAGCTTCGAGCCCTCTTGGAGCAGCAACTTATGCTGAGCAAAGTGTCTACCCCTTGGAGCCAAGGGAAAGCTATATAAGCCGTGTCCGCATCGCACGTCTGTCCTCTTTCTAGATTTCCTCACACAACTGTCCTCAACATTCAAGCATACACCATGACCAAGCCCATCACCGTCTGGATGACCCGTACGTCTCTATTGTACACACTGCCCACTCACCCACCCACTGAAGCTAACATTAATCCCAGCTCCCGGTCCTAACCCCTGGAAGGTCAGCCACCACTAACACCGACCCGCAAACACCATCAAGCATTGACATCCTCCTCCATCTACCAGGTCGTCCTCATCCTCGAAGAACTTCAAGTCCCCTACGAGATCCAATCCTTCAAGTTCGACGATGTGAAAAACCCACCTTTCATCAACCTCAACCCCAACGGCCGCGCCCCAGGTAAGCCCACCCACCCACGCCTAGGCTCTTATCTTATCACCCCCCAAACATCCTCAACCACAAGCCCTAAGCCACCACTAACCACAAAAACAGCAATCGTCGACCCCAACACAAACCTGACTCTCTGGGAATCGGGCGCCATCATCCAGTACCTGATCGACGTCTACGACACCGACCACAAGCTCAGCTTCCCCAGCCTCGCGGAGCGCCACCTCTGCAACCAATACCTCCATTTCCAGATGAGCGGACAGGGCCCGTACTTCGGCCAGGCGGCGTGGTATGCCCTCTCCCCTGACCCCCAACCCACCCTTCCATCCCTCTCGTACCCCCAAGACCTAAAAAGACTAACACAGAAGTGAAGGTTCACCGTCCTCCACCCCGAAAAACTCCCCAGCGTGATCGACCGCTACGTCTCCGAAGTCCGCCGCATCCTGGGGGTGCTGGACACGGTCCTCGCGGACAAGACCTGGCTCGTGGGGGACAAGCTGACGTTCGCGGACCTGGCGTTCGTGCCGTGGAACGGGCGGCTGAATTACCTGCTCCCGGAGGCCGAGCAGGATCTGGCGGCCTGGCCCCATGTGCAGGCGTGGCAGCAGCGGATGGAGGCGCGGCCGGCCTGGCGGACGTGCGTCGAGCGGCGGGATCGGCTGATGGATGAGCAGGGGTTGCAGCCGAATGGGATGCCCAAGGGGGTGAGCAATATTCGGGAGTATGAGGAGTTGATTGCGCGGAATGCGGAGGGGCGAAAGGAATAGAGGGTGGGTTGGGTTTGGTGCGATTAGGTTGAAGTGGATACTATATCTGGCTTTGAATTGTGAATCTTATTTTCTGAGATTGTATATGCTTTATGTATGTCTTCCATTCAGTGATAAATCGTTCCTCGCTCAAGACAAGGAACAAGCCCGAGGAGGGCCTGTGAGAGCTGGGTTCAGCTGAGTCGATTTATTGAATACTTTGCATCCTAAATCCGTATACGACTGCATGACTGTGGTCAAGTAGCACTTTGTATTAAACCAACCATCCCTACATCAAAGTAGCCAGCTTGAGCATCATGGCTGATCTTCAAATCCCGGATCTGATAAGATGCATGGATCTCGACGGCTGATTAATCGCCATTGCGTGATGCGGAAGGTCGGCGAATGGAATCGGGCACTGCATATGTCAGCCTCTGGATTACCAACCCTTTCTCGCCACATACGATGATTGGAGGAATGCCAGGATTGAGACAACTGCTATGTGCGGTATGTAAGCTGAATGCAGCAATTATTCCTTACGCGCTTCACAGCTTGATGATTATGTGATCACATACATGTTGTGTGCCGGGGATTGCTCGGCGATTGATGGTTAATCCTCAATGCCGGTGGCGTCATCGCGCCCGTTGCCGGCTGTCTTTATATACCACCCCATCACATCAACCCAACTATCTCATCCATCCCTCAGCACCACACTCAATTCGAACGTACTCGTTTCAAGCACACTCGGTCTAAACACACTCTATACAAAAGCCATTGAAAATGACAGCACAAGGCGACGTCACGGCGGAGATCAACTTCTACCGCGCCCCCGCCGACGGCTCCGCGCCCTTCGTCTACGTGGAGCCGCCTCCAGCCGGCCAACCGCAACAGAACTTCTCGCAGACCACCCAGCAGGTCCCTCTGACCGACATCCGCGGCCACGAGGAGGAGTACTCCCTCGCCAAGGACGCCTTCCAAGTCTTCCGGGGGGTCGCCTCGGCCATGAGCTACGCGCAATTCGACTCGGACGAGGCGATCCGCGAGATCTACTACCCGGAAACCGAGCGGTTGCTGCTCGAGCACGTCCCCGGCGCGCGACGGGTGGTCATCTTCGACCACACGGTGCGCAAGCATGACCCGAGCGCCTCGCGGCAGCCGGTGACGTACGCGCACGTGGACCAGACCGCGGCGGCGGCGGAGGCGCGCGTGCGGCGGAGCATCGCGGACCCGGCGGAGGCGGAGAAGCTGGCGCAGGGCCGGTTCCGCATCATCAACGTCTGGCGGCCGATCAACGGGCGGGTCGAGTCGCTGCCCCTCGCCTTCGCCAGCGGCAGCTCCACCGACCCCGCGGATCTCATCCCCGTCCAGCGCCGCTACCCCACCTTCACCGGCGAGACCATGAGCGTCCAGTACCAGCCCTCCCAGAACTGGCTGTACTGGTCGCACGTCGCCGACGACGAGCGCATCCTGCTGCAGTGCTCCGACAATCAGCCGGGCGCCGTGGCCCGCGTGCCCCATGCCGCCTTTGTGCATCCCCGCTCCCCGGCCGATGCGAAGCCCCGGGAGAGTATTGAGGTGCGCGCGTTGGTGTTTGATTAGGTGGTTGTGGTTTCGCTTGTGAGATTACTTTTGGGCTTGTTTCTTTGTTGTACACATACATAGCGTGGGCTTAGCATAATACGATTGACTACATTAATGACCGAAAATGCATGATTCTTATAATCCCGCCCTCCCGCTACGCTGCACCGACGACAAACTGTAGATACACTGCATCGTAGAAACAAAAACCATCATTGAAGATATGCCCTCTTTCCACAGACCGTATACACTTCCACCCTATCAATTCCACTCCTTTAAAGCCATCGCGCCCCAATCCACCCCGGAATCTCCCTAACAGCAGGCCACCACCAGCCGCCCTTCCTCGCCCCGAACACCACCGCCGTCCCCAGCACCCCGGCCGAAGTGACCGTGAGGGCGAAATTCACCAACGCCGTCCGCCGCCAGGGCCCGACTCTCTTCTCCACTCGATTCCGAAATCCTTCCCCGGTATTTGTCTGGGGAAACGGTTCCTGCGGGACCTCCTTCTCCAAGAACTACACCTCGTCAGCATCAACTCAACCCCAACCACAAAGCACACCCAAATTCCCTCATGACAAAGAAAGAAAGAAAGAAAGATGCACAAACCTCACACAAAGGCCCCCACCCATCCTCAACGTTCCACTCCAACAAATTATCCGAAGGCACCAACCCCTTAACCAACCACCCATGCTCGCGATACACCCGTCTCCCCTTGCCCACGACCCCCTCCTCCACCGTCCTCGCCCCAAACAACCCCGGATACCCAACGGCATAATACAGCCGCCACAGCCAGAACACCTCCGCACTGAACAGATGCAACACCCAGAGACCCCAGTGCGCGGCGCCGTCCGTCACGAACGCCTGCCGGGCGCTGCGCTGCCACGCGGCCACGTCGCGGCGCGTGTTGAGGATGACCTTGGCGTCCGGGTAGGCCTGGAGGATCTCGGGCGTGAAGAGGGCGGCGGCCGAGTCGAGGACCACGTCGCAGTCGCCGGGGAGGAGGGCGTCGAAGTCCGCCCGCGTGATCGGGTCGTCTCGCGGAGTGGTCGCCGAGGGCGCGTATTTGCGCTCGGCGAGCTGCGCCCACGCCTGGAGGTGGGCGGCCGTGTCGAAGACGAGGTCCCAGCCGTGGAAGGGCGTGTAGCCTAGTTGGGTCAGGGCGAGGCTGAGGCTTTCGGTGCCGGAGCGGGGGAGCCCCACGCATAGGATGCGGATGGGTTGGGTGCGGTGGCGGGGTGGTGGGGGGGGATAGCTGTAGAGGGTCTTGATGAGGAGGTTCATTTTGAGGGTGGCTCTGTGGGTAAGGGCTGAAGGGGAGTGGGGGAGGAGGGGGGAGGTTGTGATGACGGTGGTCGTGGGGCTTGATTAAGTTCTAATTGCCATTGCGGCGGAAAGAGAGCTTGTGTAACAATGGCTTAGAAATGACTCTGGAACCTTCAAGAAATGGAGGAAACCTGGAATTAGCAGTGTAACGATGTGTTTGATTCTTATATACTAAGTTATGGTGGCTGACTACAACCGCGAAGTCTCAGCCGTGGAAACGAACCTCCCCAGTAGTGCTCACTGGTCATCTCGGACCGCATAAAGCTTGATTGGCTGGTTCGTGTCTCAGGGTTCGACAACACCGACAATAAAGTGATCAAGTACATCCAGCTCGTTTTGAGCAAGGCTCTTGACATCGCCTGGCAGATTAAAGTCATTCTCGGGCGTCGGATGGCCCGTTCAGGCAACAGTTCTGGGGATAGCCCGGATCATCCTGGCTGGAGAGAGCAGTGAAACTGAGGCTGGACTGGAGAATGTAGTTATTTGACTCTTGTTCCCCAGTCCGAAGGAGGGTTTCGCGTTCTCTCAGGGTTGTGAGTAGATCGGTCAATTGACTGGCGCTGTGGAAGAGACATCAGCAACGCAGTCGCGGGTGTCAACAAACATACATCCTTGGCTGGCTGGCTACCCGTAGGGTGTGTACAGTTCTCCATATGAGGTTCTAGTGGTCGGAAGGTCTTTACCGCCTGATAATCAAATGCTTCTGCCGGCAGATAAATGCCAAAGAAACAAGGCGGTGTGAAACACCTGTCAACCAGACCTGCAACCAAATCATCTTCACATGGCATCAACAACCAAAGTGCCCATATACAGACCACAGTAGTTCGTACACCACGCACATACCTCCACAGCCCATCTAAGTCGGCTTTGCTTTGAAATCCGATCTTCGACATCGAAAAATGACGTCCCTGCCAAGCACCCAGCAGCAGGGAATACACCACCCGTGAACGGCCCGCGCTGATGCGCAACCGCCGCACTCGTCACTCTGCTTTGTATGTGCTGGACCCGTCGCTCTGCCGAGCACCAGCTCGCCTTTGCGCCCAATCCTCTGGTGTCGGCAACAGTGTATCCTGCTCCTTGATCTGCGACCATACAATCAGTGGCGTAGATATAGTTCACAAGAGCCAACATCTAAAAACTCTATTTTACTTCAGCCGGAGAGCGCGCGATACGCACAAATCGCGGCAGCGCGATAGTGATATAAATTTTTGGTGCGTCAGCCCAGCAACGCGGTTTCTCTCCCGACGGGTTGCCATCCCACCGCTGACGTCTGCCTTTTTTTTTTTTTGCTCCTATTCTTTGACAAAAGTCTATTGTATCCCGAAGCTCGAGACTCGCTGCTTGGTTTGTGTGCTACCGTGCCTTGATCCAATCAAGGTTTGCCGACGGGGACCTCCAGGATCATACCACCGCGCTTGGATACCCGCCCAGCCGCGATGGAGCTTGGTAGCGACGAGGGCGTTATAGACCCAAGCACGTACGTGGATAGATTGTGTATACGTTTGAAGCGTACGTCATGGGTTGCGGTTCGGTTGAGGGTCGATGCGCTTGCGAAACTAGTGCTACAACTAGTTGTGCACGGCGTGTTCCATCGGAGCAGAGTGCTTTCGATGGTTGGGTTCCTGTCGGGGATGTTACTGCTTGCGGAAGGTAACCGTTAGGATGGGATGGCCGATGGATGGATGATCTTGTGAGATTGAGATCCACCCCACCCGCACCGCGGGTGCTCACACCGCCCTTGTGCACCTGCACCTGCACTGAGGACTCAGTAACTATGTACTGTGTAGTGCGGAGTACAATTTCGCGGTCTCAGTCTCACTGTCTTTGGATGAAAGTAAATTTGCCAACACGGAAGAAAGGTATCGGACCTGATCCTGCCGAGGATATTCCGTGCAGTATCGGAGGAGCAGCCATTTGCGAGAGAGGTGAGTCAGCTGAGTCAGCGGACGTGCCAAGTCTCAGCCATTAGTCATGCACCAAACTAGCAAGTGGCCCAGCAGGCCCAGCAGGCCCAGCAGGCCCAGCAGGCGGTCAGAGAGTAAGATTTAGTGGAGTCTCAGACGGAACGGCAGTGGCTTGAAGGCTGAAGCGAGGACCACGGTGCGGCTCATCGCCCCTGCCCTGCTCTCTTCTTCTCTCTCGGTGCTCTTCGCGATCGGGACCAACCTCTTGGCGCACGTTTCTGGCGTGCAGCTACACATACATGAACGGTGGGAAACTGGAGTCAGAACAGGAGAGAGATCGACTGTTACCTGGATTTGAATTGAAGCTATCCCGGATTCATGGGTTGGTGGACAAAGTAACTCCGAAACACACGTGCTTTTCGCACCTGGACGACTACCGGGTTAGGGCATGTGCTCCAGGCTGATTATTGGTAATACGACCGTACCTTAGCAGTACCTGCTGGAAGGCATTTCATTGGCTTATCCTCTTTTTCCTCTGCCTTTCTTGCCCTTTTTTCGGGCGCAGAGTTTTCTCTTTTCAGGCCACCCCACGCTAACCCATTCTGACCAAATACTACGCCGATCCACTTTTTAGTAAGAAAACCCACTTTTGGAGGAGATTCCCACGAATAAACATAGGTTCCAGTGTAGAGGGGAAACTCGGTTGCGGCAGGTATCTCGAGGGTTAACACGGTAAAATGAGGGGAGGAGCTGAGGGTGGGAGATACGGGCGGCGGTCACGGCGGTGTTGTCGGCTTTTAGTTGCAGCCTCACTGTGAAGGGAGTGGGAGGGTGGGAATTCCGAGTCAGATGCAAAGGAAAAAGAATAGTGAGGGGAAAGAAAGGTCGGACCTCTCCGTCCGTCCCTCACCCAAAAGTCCCCCCGGACCCGCAAAAATGTCGGTATGGGGTATGGGGTCCGCCAACAACGGATGCCTAATAAACCGACTGCCCTATTTTGTTGGTCCCCCATCCGACTCTCTCCCCCCCCCCCCTCCCATCAAGTCCCCATCTGTAGGGTTGCTCAGAATTTTCTCGATCTCGGCTAATACCTATGGTAGCTACCGAAGTCCCTTGCTTGCCCACTGGACCCTTTCTGGCTGGTGTTACTGCTCACTGCACTTGATGAGTAAATGCTACTAGTTACTAGTTATACTTACTAGTTGGTGTTACCATTTCTTTTCTCCAGCTCAACTCACTCGCAACTGTCCTCATGCTTGCTTACTGTACCTACCCTTCCCCGGCTTGGCTGTTCAGGTTTCATGTGATTGGGATCGACGGCTTCCGGGGCGTCAGCCAGGAAGCTTTAGCTTCCCGGCGCGGCAACCCGGGTTTCGGCGGTTAAAACAGCGCCAGCACGAAGCAAGAACGGTAACTGAAACGAATCGAAGGATTGTACTCGAGTAATCTCGGCCGGGGCAGTGGCATTTCTTGGCCCACGAAATTATCGCTCGGAATTTTACCGTCGTTGAATGGACTGACTCGACATGGTGAGCACGGAGATGGCAGAGGATGGGGGGGAGGGGAAGGGAATGGGTTCCCGTTAGGGCAAAGAGAGGGGAAGATCCTCACTTGGTGCATATGGGGTGGATCCTCAGTCCCTTGGCCAAGTGGTCTGTTTCCCACCACTCACGCCGGTTTAATCCGACCCTCCCTCCATGTGCTATCTCCCCGCATGGAGAGAGGGAGCGAGGGAGGGAGAGAAGGAAAGGAGGGGAGGCGTGGCCATGTGGGAGATGACTGCTGTCATCCCTGCTGGTGAGAGATAACTCGATCTTGATTGACTGATGGATGACTGGATCGGTTAACAATGTTCCACATTCCCCTCCCCGCATCAGCAGGGAATAGGAACTCAATCATCAATCACCCATGAAGTTCATTTCATCAATAACCGTGACCTGGAGAGAGAGCCTGAAGGTCGGCAATCTTACTCTTTCCGGGAGCAGTCAGTGCCCTGAACCACAGACGAGTGCCAAGCGGCACAGTCGCAACCAGCGTAGCGTCGCGTTTGAATCCCTGACGTCAATGGCGCCGTGAACCCCGAACTGAGCTTTTTTTTCGCGGGGCCCCAAAAGATCTTATTGGTGTTGAAAGGGTGTGAATGGCCCCAGTCGTCCCCCTCTAAACCCTCTTGGCCCTCTTGGCCCCCTTGGCGGCTCGCGACACATGCCCTATACCACTTTCCGACTAAGTCTTATGTTCTCTCGGCATTAGCAAGCATTTCGAGCATTTCGAGCATTTCGAGCATTTCTGTAGCATCGCGAAACATACATAAACCCTGCTGCTGCTGTCCTTGCCCTGGTTGGGAGATCCCTTCCTTCTTGTCAAACCTCCATCCCTTACCTCTCTCCACCTTTCCCTCACCTGTCACGCATACCAACATTCTTCATTGATT